TTGTAATCACGCTAGAGTTCAACGTCATGTGATAGAAACTCAATTTACACATAGGCACATAGATAGCGTGGAATTTTTTCTGCAGTCCGATCAAGTGCTAAGATAGGCTGTATCGGTCAACGTGTTTGTATAGTATACCTATATTTGGTATATTGATTTTAGCCACACTTTTTAATGTAATAGTCTAAAATTCGGTATTTAGAGTTTATATTGGGGTTACATCCTGTGGCAGAACGACATTACGAAAGCTTACATTTTCTTTCAAGATTTGACGTAAGCCTCAACAATCGGTACCGGTGGTGCGATTCTTTTTGAAATCTTACACTCACAAAAAGTTCCTGGAAGGTTCGGCTCCAATTAGTTATATGTTAAGGTCCATTTACACTAATACAAAACTATTTCGAAAAGTCGAATATATTAGAAGTTGTTTTTAAAGTCGATACTGAAATCTTTTATTTCAATTTGGGAGGAACTTTCTTTTCAAAGAATATGCCACATCATATTAAAGTTGTGGTATCGAAACAGCTTTGAAATAACCCGGAACCAAATTCTCTCGATATGTTCGATATGCAAGAATTTAGCTTCTCATTATGTATGAAAACGATGGCTAATGAGTTAGATAGCAAATTATCAATTTGTTTATTAAGTTTGAAGATTTCATAAGAGTTCAATTAAAACATATTATTTTATAAAGTCCAATAGGAACGTTATAAATAGGATTTGGTTTTTTGTCTCCAGATTGATTGGCCGATGTAAACGATTACCACAAGGCATAACCCATATATCATTATATAGAATATTTGTTTTTGCCAACGCCATTTTACATAATCTCTCCAATTTGTAAATCTATTGCGATATTGATGGTCCAACTCGAACTGACTTCTATGAGGAAATAGGGATAAATAGAAATCCTCCAGCAGATGGCGAATCAATTCATTTTCTTCTTCGTACTTTGGATCTAGGTTATCGTTGATGCAATTAAACTTCCTGCAAAATACAACACAGAAAAATGGTATCTTTGAGTTCTATACCCTTCCAATCATACAGTAATAAGTAGCTCGAACAAACGTGTACCTTGGATTCCTTCTAATTCCATCTAAAGCATCGACAACCTCCGTTACGTTCGATGAGAGCATCATAAAATTATTAAACGTATTTCGCTTTGAGTTCACTTTATACTTATACTTGGGCCTCGTACCAAAATTTAGTTGTAACGCTTCAACCAACGGTAAACATTGCTTAACTAAGACCTTGGACACGGTAGGCTAAGAGGGAATTAGTATGAGTGAAAAGTTGTTAACCTAATTTTGCATTCCTAGCCATCTTACCAAATGAGAATCTTCGTATCGTTCGTATAAAACAGTAGTATGTCGCTTGTGGGCAAAGTCTTCGTATTTATATTCGGGAGATTGACTACAGTTTTGAATTACACCTTCAAAAAAACGAACTGCGGACCAATCTAAAGGCAACGGGAAGATTTTTGACAAAAACGTTCTTATTTCTCTATCGGACCATGTAAGCGAATGATCTGTGTCGAACTCATCGAATATATTGTCTATGGTTTCATTGTAGGTTTCTTCCATTAGGAATGAGTAATACAGAAAAGCAAATTGAAGGTCATTAGGAGCGCGAAATCTATGGGTTGCTGTTGTTAATATTTCTTGGGAAAACTTTTTTTGCATTGCTTCTATGATTGTCTTCTCCAGTAGGAAACCGACGTGACTGATTACGTGACGGGCCTTAAACCCATATCGGCGATTTAGAAGCATGTTTGTATATATTAGAGATTGGGAAAAGTGTTCACTTGTTTTTTGCAAGGATCTCACATTGTTAGCAAATTTCGGTATAAGTGGTACGTTCTTTGATTGCTGGTTGTGGAGCCGCTTGTTGTAATTATCGACAAGTGTTTTCATGTCAAGCTTTCGTGTTAAATTATAGCTATGCAGGATATCCCAAAAACGTTTTATTCCAATATTTTTAGTTGTTGTCCTGACATTTCTGAACAGGATTGTGCCTTCAGATTTTTTTCCTCTACGTTCGATGGTATGCAGTAAGCCTCTGCGTTGCACATAATCATCACCATCGGTACAATCACCTCCATCATATTGGCATTCCGAAATGTTACAGTTTTGGTCACATGTCTTATCTCCAATATACGTCCACGGACAGTTTTGAGAACACTCTGGGACAAGCCATGCTTGGAATATGCGCGTCCCTTCCGAATCGGTGTAGAGATCTTCCGGATATAGATGAGAGCCCAGGAAGATATCATCATTTAAGTATAGAAATCGATTCGATAAATTTGGTATACGATGTATAAATGTTTCTATAGCTGCACTGGAGAAAACTGGCAGCCATTGAATGTTTGGTGTCAAAAACTCATGTGTTACAATGGTTATCCGTTCATTTGTCAAATCTAGCCAATGTGGAATTTGCATTCGACAACATCTTAAATATGTTTACATTGTTGTTGTTACTATGGTTTGGCTTTGAATCATTAACAATGGCGCCGTTCTCAGTTGTGTTGGCCACTGTGTGTACCAGGTCAGTAACCAATTTGCTTATGCGATCGCATTCTAAGCTGTTATAAAACCAGAAGCCTCGGATACGGGATCTTTCGTTGCGATATAGCAGGAAAGGAGCCTGTGCCTGCAGCTCTAGGTGCGGTGTTATGGGTTCCACAAACGATGTTGTATTTAAGCGGTTATTAATGAAAATACTGTGAAACGGTTGCGCATTGCGGCTATATATGAAGAACGCTCCTTCGACGTCTGTTTTCTCCCATTCATTCTGCTCTGAGTCGAATATATAAAATGCCACGTGAGAAGACGTGTCTACAATGTCCTTTGCATAAGGATCGACCTTCTTGATAGCAGCCAGATTCATACGAGTTTTACTTTTATCTGCCATCATGTTTACTGCTACTCTCAAAGCGCTGCGATATTGCTCACGTGTAGCGATGTTGTCCCTGAAAGGATCTAAAAATGTTAATCAAGAAATATGTGCGAATAACTTTGCAATATTTGTTAAGCTATGCGTTCACCAGCACCCTACACAAAATAAGGTATGCGATGAACTTTAAATCGATTCCAATAGCCATAAAGAAAAAAAAAAAACTTCAAAACACCGGGAGAGAAATAGAAAAATTCCACTGGAATTTGTGACTGGACACATATTACACATAACGTCGCATTTTGTACAGATTTCCTGGGTAAGCACGAAGAGAGTCCATGTCTATGGTCTGGCTGAATTAATAAATTAATATTTAGTACAGAGTTCGGAAATTTAATCTGTTTGCGATCCTTCACACAAACAAATACATTGATTCTCCCATGAATGTTACATGTTTTTCAAATGGCCTAGGCACGTTTCAAAATCTGGCACGAAGCACAACTTGTAAAGGTCGTATGGCTCCGTATTGTTGCTGATGCTGAATTGGTCAGGAAAGGAAATACAACATTCATTTAATTTATGGGAAGTCAAAAATTTGGGCATGGACACGGCGAGAATTTCTAAACTCCAAACATACACACACATTGTTTCCGAAATGAAAATTGTGCCAACTCTATTGCACCCACACACTACCAAACTGCATACTCACTTTTATGAATCGTCGCAATGAATTCTAGCAGCAAAACAAATGGATATTTATTTGGAATTATGTCTGAAATCTTCCACAGGCCTAATAGAGTAGTGTCGTTCTAAAACTAGCTAGTTCAAATGAACTATTGTCCATGTAATGAACTATCGGAACTATATCCAGCTCTTTCGTTGTTCAACTAGTTTCTATGGTTCACAATGGTTCCTTCAGTTCGTTTACCGGTCTTACACCGTTCATTTGCTGTTAACTGAAAATCTCCAATGCAAGATGGCATGGTAGAAGAATACAGGTAGTCGCATCGGCACAGCTTCAGAGACAATGAACTGTCAAACCAATTTTGAATGAAAAATGCTTCAAATTCGTAAAAAAATGTTGAAGAACAACTTCCGATTGGCGTCGCATAAGAAAACGTATAAACAAAAATGTACTTATTTTTGACAAAAAATATAAAGCTTTTGACATATCAATGTTCCCAAACGTTGATACATCTACGTTTATTCCTTTACCATTGCAAGATGGGGTATATTTAACTTTCGGTTTTAACACCTCAGACCCCATTAGGTATTTTTTGTATACCCTCCATATACATAGTTGCACTCATGGGACAATAAGAAAGGTTCCTCAATTTCAAAGAAATTAGAAAAATACAACTCTGTACTGGAGTCTTATAGAGTCAAAGGCTTTTAAATTTGCAACAAAATTTTGGAGGGTGTATTATGTTTGTCATTCCAACTGTAACTGATCAGCATAAGATTCGATTTTGCCATGTCCGTCCTTCCATCTGTTGTAATCACGCTAGAGTTCAACGTCATGTGATAGAAACTCAATTTACACATAGGCACATAGATAGCGTGGAATTTTTTCTGCAGTCCGATCAAGTGCTAAGATAGGCTGTATCGGTCAACGTGTTTGTATAGTATACCTATATTTGGTATATTGATTTTAGCCACACTTTTTAATGTAATAGTCTAAAATTCGGTATTTAGAGTTTATATTGGGGTTACATCCTGTGGCAGAACGACATTACGAAAGCTTACATTTTCTTTCAAGATTTGACGTAAGCCTCAACAATCGGTACCGGTGGTGCGATTCTTTTTGAAATCTTACACTCACAAAAAGTTCCTGGAAGGTTCGGCTCCAATTAGTTATATGTTAAGGTCCATTTACACTAATACAAAACTATTTCGAAAAGTCGAATATATTAGAAGTTGTTTTTAAAGTCGATACTGAAATCTTTTATTTCAATTTGGGAGGAACTTTCTTTTCGAAGAATATGCCACATCATATTAAAGTTGTGGTATCGAAACAGCTTTGAAATAACCCGGAACCAAATTCTCTCGATATGTTCGATATGCAAGAATTTAGCTTCTCATTATGTATGAAAACGATGGCTAATGAGTTAGATAGCAAATTATCAATTTGTTTATTAAGTTTGAAGATTTCATAAGAGTTCAATTAAAACATATTATTTTATAAAGTCCAATAGGAACGTTATAAATAGGATTTGGTTTTTTGTCTCCAGATTGATTGGCCGATGTAAACGATTACCACAAGGCATAACCCATATATCATTATATAGAATATTTGTTTTTGCCAACGCCATTTTACATAATCTCTCCAATTTGTAAATCTATTGCGATATTGATGGTCCAACTCGAACTGACTTCTATGAGGAAATAGGGATAAATAGAAATCCTCCAGCAGATGGCGAATCAATTCATTTTCTTCTTCGTACTTTGGATCTAGGTTATCGTTGATGCAATTAAACTTCCTGCAAAATACAACACAGAAAAATGGTATCTTTGAGTTCTATACCCTTCCAATCATACAGTAATAAGTAGCTCGAACAAACGTGTACCTTGGATTCCTTCTAATTCCATCTAAAGCATCGACAACCTCCGTTACGTTCGATGAGAGCATCATAAAATTATTAAACGTATTTCGCTTTGAGTTCACTTTATACTTATACTTGGGCCTCGTACCAAAATTTAGTTGTAACGCTTCAACCAACGGTAAACATTGCTTAACTAAGACCTTGGACACGGTAGGCTAAGAGGGAATTAGTATGAGTGAAAAGTTGTTAACCTAATTTTGCATTCCTAGCCATCTTACCAAATGAGAATCTTCGTATCGTTCGTATAAAACAGTAGTATGTCGCTTGTGGGCAAAGTCTTCGTATTTATATTCGGGAGATTGACTACAGTTTTGAATTACACCTTCAAAAAAACGAACTGCGGACCAATCTAAAGGCAACGGGAAGATTTTTGACAAAAACGTTCTTATTTCTCTATCGGACCATGTAAGCGAATGATCTGTGTCGAACTCATCGAATATATTGTCTATGGTTTCATTGTAGGTTTCTTCCATTAGGAATGAGTAATACAGAAAAGCAAATTGAAGGTCATTAGGAGCGCGAAATCTATGGGTTGCTGTTGTTAATATTTCTTGGGAAAACTTTTTTTGCATTGCTTCTATGATTGTCTTCTCCAGTAGGAAACCGACGTGACTGATTACGTGACGGGCCTTAAACCCATATCGGCGATTTAGAAGCATGTTTGTATATATTAGAGATTGGGAAAAGTGTTCACTTGTTTTTTGCAAGGATCTCACATTGTTAGCAAATTTCGGTATAAGTGGTACGTTCTTTGATTGCTGGTTGTGGAGCCGCTTGTTGTAATTATCGACAAGTGTTTTCATGTCAAGCTTTCGTGTTAAATTATAGCTATGCAGGATATCCCAAAAACGTTTTATTCCAATATTTTTAGTTGTTGTCCTGACATTTCTGAACAGGATTGTGCCTTCAGATTTTTTTCCTCTACGTTCGATGGTATGCAGTAAGCCTCTGCGTTGCACATAATCATCACCATCGGTACAATCACCTCCATCATATTGGCATTCCGAAATGTTACAGTTTTGGTCACATGTCTTATCTCCAATATACGTCCACGGACAGTTTTGAGAACACTCTGGGACAAGCCATGCTTGGAATATGCGCGTCCCTTCCGAATCGGTGTAGAGATCTTCCGGATATAGATGAGAGCCCAGGAAGATATCATCATTTAAGTATAGAAATCGATTCGATAAATTTGGTATACGATGTATAAATGTTTCTATAGCTGCACTGGAGAAAACTGGCAGCCATTGAATGTTTGGTGTCAAAAACTCATGTGTTACAATGGTTATCCGTTCATTTGTCAAATCTAGCCAATGGGGAATTTGACCATTTGTAACGATGTATATATGTCTTATCCAAGGAGCATATTTCTCCAAGGAACGCAGAGAATATCTTAACTCGTTTTTGTCATCAAATCTATTTTTCTCATAGCTCTGGCTGTACTGCGTTATTGCTTTTTGAAATAATGGATCGCTTCCATTAACCCACGTATAAACCACATCCATTGGTTCACAAGCCGATGGTCTTGGGCTGTGTGTGTCAAATTTCTGCAATTTTTAGACATTAGTACAAACTCATAAACATTTACCACCATTATCACCTTTTGATACATGAGGAATAGTGTAATTAGAAGCGACAAAGCCGATATTTTCCAGATGCGCTTCCTAAGAAGTCGCGCAAAGTATTGTAATGTTCGTCTTATATGCATGATTTGGACTCAGCATGCTACGCCACCATTATATGTCCTCCAATAATCAGCCAAATGGTGTGGGAACGGAATTTTAGATTAGATATAGAGTTACAGAATTTCTGTCCCAATTTTCATTTCCATTTTGAACAACACCCTTTTCGATGGTAAGCTAGGACATGAAAATGCAAGTTCTTAACGACGAATATTAATTCATTTGCATATCTTACCTTCAATATGAGTAAAGATTGTCTGTCTCTTATTGATGGCAACTTTGATTCAATCCGATTTCCCATCAATATTACAATATTTACTCATGCATAGTTTGAGACAATCACAACTTTTGACTGCCATTGTTAATAACCCTATGTCGCACTCAAAACAAGAAGCGTCTCGTGCGGATTTTAGGGTCGATTTGTCACCACACGAAATCACATGTTAAAAGTATTTCATTATAATTGAAATTATGTAGTTGTAATTGATGTTATATAATTAAGTTTTCCAAGTATTTTATGTGTGTTTTTCTTGGAGGACGGTCTCTGGTGGGAAACCAAAATAAAAGACGTCCTCAACGAAACAAATATGAAGGCAAAAAAGTAATACCAGGTAAAAATAAACATAAAGCAAAATCACCGAGAACTCTACTGTTTACGAATGAGTGTAATGCATAAGGTCGAGAACTCAGTTCTTTTAGAAGGAGACATGGCGAAAACGCAATCAGCTGGTTTTATAGATTCCGCCATTTTCACTAATTCCTGCATTCATTCTGGCAATCCCCTGCTGGCAATGCCTCTATATCCAATCATTCTAGCAATGCATCTAAATCTTTTCATTCTGGCAATTCCACAGTATATTACAACTCTGTGTTTTGACATAAATATCAATAAATATGGCAATCATCGCTCTGTCATCACATGACTGATTCAAGATCATATGAATACGAAGAAATTTTCATTGTTGGGACCGTGTAGATCGACGTCGTTTTTTTTTTCTTATGGGACAGAAGTGTACTTAATTGTGTTTTTATTTTTTTTTTCAAAGGATACAATTCCATTTTCTATTAGTTTTCAGTTCCTAAATACTCATTAAATTTTGTGGGAATATCGGAGTTGTCGGGAAAAGAGGAAACTAAAGAGAAAAGAACGACATGATGAAGTATGTGGCTGCGCTTTTGTGTCTTTTGAGTTTGGCATTAGCTGAACAAGCACCCGTGTTTCTGTGGGGCGTCAACAGGTACTTGAAGGTGTCTCAATATTGCATGAAATTATACTAATCATTATTTCCATTATTTGTTTTATGAAGTGAGGCTAAGCCTGCCTTGACAACTGTACCCAAATCGGAATTTGCTGACATTATTTCTTCGCAGAAAAAAGATAACACATTGATAGTGTTTCTCGAAAATGGCGTAAGTAGAAAGTCTTTCTTTATATATCCATTGTTGCGACCAGTGTTAGTATTTTCGGAAAGTATACAAATTAAAATTAAATAGTTTTATTAATGTTTATCATAGTTGATATATTTCCGTCCAAACAATTGTAAAAAGGCTATGATCCACTTTGTTTGTTTGGATCGTAAGGTCCGTTCTTCATAAAAACGAGATTGCGTTACAATGTAAAAGTGCAAATAGACATGAATTATTAACAGTTAGTACCAAAACGGTTACTTGTGTTGTTAAAGATATACGTATTATGGAGATTTTGTGAGAATTAAAAACGTTGATCATTTTACTTATTTTTCTCCCTCCACAGTTAACCACCAAAGATTTTTCGTGCACCAACGAACTTACATCGAAATCTTGCTATGCCCATTTGCAAGAAGTTCCCGAAAAAAATTTCTACTCTTCAGTGGAAGACCCAGTTGACGCATTGAAATCGATTGGAGAATATGAATACAATTCGGTCGATTCCACGGGAAAACTGAGCAACAATTTCGATTTGAACGATGGAAAAATAGTTTTTGTAACTTTTGATGATTCATCAGATTCGAGCCGTGCTGCTTGCTTGGAATCTCATGGTAATATATATGAAATCAAGCAACCGGAAACCCAATTTTTCTAAATTTATTTTTACGTTGCAGATTCGATCATTACATCGATTTCCAAACAGCTTAATGGTAAAGCTATTTTCATGTACACGACTGCCCCACAAACATCCCCAGTAGCTTTGAAGCGTGAACGTCGCGATGCCACCGATAGCAATGGTGTTGTCTTCCAAAGCGGTGCCGATTTGTTACTGTATTACACCTCACTTACCGTAGTAAACAGCAAAGACCAGAGTACTACCACTTTGACGCCCACTTCAATGACTGTGACCAAAACGAATGCAACAGCATTGTCAGTGACCTTAACATCTACCCCATCATTGACTTTCGACGTGACCCTATCTGGTGGATATTTCTTTATGACTAATGTCAAATGGGATAATATCTTGTTCCGTAGTAACGACGTCTATGCCCCCACTGACTTCTCTTACTACTGTGGAAATTTAACTCTCAATGGAAAAGGCACCGCTGAAGAACCCAGTACATACTCGTTGCATTGGAATTCATTACAGTTCCAAGCACCTTTCGGAAGCACCACAGATGAGAAATTTGTCTTTGGAGACGCCTGGCACTGTGTTGGTTTCTTCACCGGAGGGATCTTATCAGGTCTATTGATTGTAGCTTTGCTCTTAACAATTACGTTTGTGGGTGTTTGCTGGATGATGGATATCAACACCATGGACAGGTTTGATGATCCCAAAGGAAAAACCATCACAATTAATGCCAGCGAGTAAGGCATATAAGAGTGCCCACATATGTTTTAATTCATTCCCTAATCCACATTTTCCTTCTTTACCCTATCTAAAATTGTATAAAAACGTTATTGAGTGTGTGTGTTTTTGTTTGCGACAGTATCTTTGCATTTAAATTTGTCCAGCATCCTTAATTTAAATGCAGACAAATTGTCGCATTTAATAAAACATTTAGTAAAATGATGTCAGGTTTATTCGGAAGGTTTGGCGGTGGTTAGTTGTGAAAAAGCGCCAATCTCTTTCTAATGAGTATTTCGAAAATTGTCTATTTGTTGTATTATTTTTATTATTAGAATTGTTAAGCTAACAAATAAAGAATGGTTGTTCGACTATTTCGTGTTGTCTGAGTCATTTACACAGTTGCTAAGTCGCCACAGGTTTATATTACAGTGGAATATAATTCTCAAGGTGAACCGACGTCGCAATGGTACTTTCATGCACCTTGCCAGAAACGCCCTTCGGAACAAAATACAATGAATTCGTTCTATATGTTATCTTAAATGCGCTAATAGCAGTCATTGAATCGACCAAACAATCCAACTGAAAAGGAGATGCATTACCGCGGACAAAACATCATCGTTGAATTCATATGCTCATCCACTACCTGAAAAGCTACATTGTTTAGCAATGCTTTGGATTTCAGCCAATTATTGTACCATATATTCAGCGGATCAATTTTTTTGCAAAAAAAAAAAAAATGAAAGATGGGTACAATTCTTGTGAAAAAATATAAAAAAAACTAAAATTATTTCCATACATTGTTCTCAGAGAAAAAAACTACGGGAACACTTTACAATCAAAATGATCATTTAGCATTGTCGTTGACGTAGTCGATGTACAGACAAATAAGTCAAGAGACCTTAACAAAAAACTTAGAATTTTTCGAAGGAGATTTGTTAGCGCTGCCGCGCTTTCGCTAACTCAATTCGAACGTACTTGATAAGATTATTTCTTCGCCTACATCAAGGTATATTTACCAGGTGACACTGTAATGCCAGATGTTGTTTATCTTTACTCTCATAAAATCAATTTTTAAATTAAAAATAAACAATAAATATTTCTTTGTTTATTTCTATATCGAGGCGAGCTTAATGATCTGAAATTTGTAGTAAAAGGGAAAGCAAGCCGTAGTGGTCAGTTTGTGATAGCTTCTATCTGGATTTCCTTTTCTCTGCAAATATAAAATCATTAAACCCGTATCGAAATAAATCAAAAACATAAATAAATGAAATCTCCGCCTTAACAAGGCAAACAAAAATGTCTATTTAGACACAGAAATACTAATACTAGGAAGTCAATGCAATTTCAATAGAGTTGAGATTTCAGGTATTATCACATTGTAATATATTTTTTGGCCATGAAGCCTTTGTATTACTTGAATAATAAATAAAATACTCGAAAAAAGCATAAAAGATAGCCAATGGGAAAAACAAGCATTTTTCTAAACTTAATAACACATTTACAAATCGATTTGTATCAAGGTGTGCTTGCAGATCCGAGTATACACGGTACGGATTCAATACGGATAATACATTAACTCAGATGAAGGTAATGCACTTTATTGAATCACTTCCCAGGCATAGCCTGAGTGTAAACCAAGACCGGCAGAAGAGGCAGATGGACTGGATTGGCACTGCGCAATTTCTTCCTTTTATTTTCTAACTTAATATACTTTCTTATTACAATTCCACTTCAATTGGTGGGTCTAATTGGACCTTTGACCAATAAGATATTGGGGATATTTGGTATTAATTTAATGTCTTTGTTTCTGAACACGAAATGTCATTTATGATCCACTTTGCTAATTTAGTAGAGCTTAACAATTAAAAGTTTTTATGGGAGAGTTCAATCATACACGCTATGATTATAATTATAATTTAAAGTTCAAATTATCTTTTAAATTCGGACTTGTCCATTGCCCATTTGCGATATATATGGGAGCTATATCCAAATCTGAACCGATTTTGATAAAATTTGGCAAAGATATTTCTGAGCTGCATTTGATATATTTCCCTTAATATCGTTGGTTACGGAGAGCATATTACGGCTGTCGGTAACAAATATAACAAATCGGATGAACAATATATATATATATGGGAGCTATGGCTATATTTGAATCGATCTTCACCAAATTTGACGTACTTGTTTCTAGGAGTAATTTAGTCGGAATCGGTTGAAGATATATATATGGGAACTACAACTTGAACCGATTTATATGGGGGACCTGAATCGAAGATTTCCAAGATTTGGTTGTTTGGACTTGGTTAAACTACATTTCAAAGCTCTTAACTAAATAAGGTGGACTTTATCGTGATTTCCACAGACAGATAGACAGACAGACGATCATCGCTATCGTACAATAACTTTTTTCTGATCAGGAATATATATATGAGCTAATATTACACGTTTGATGCACAATAAAAGGCAAATCGGACGAGGATATATATGAGAGCTATATCTAAATTTTGACAGATTATCTCCAACAATTTCAATAGGGTTCGTCCTTGGGTCAAACAAACGATTTGAGCAAAATTTCATCTGGATAGGGCAACAAATGCGAACTGTACTTTGTTTACGGACGGACATACATACATCGACTCAGAATGTGTGTGATTCTATGCAGATCGAATTATGGGTCTTCTCGTTTGTTCCTTTTGCCAGTTACCCTTCTCCTTCACAAATTTCCAATTTCCTATATTTGAATTCAAATGTGCGTGCCGTGCTGATGGTATTGCGTATTCATGTATCCAATGTATTGCTCTGGAAAACTCCCGTCCTTTGGGGCGTTTGGAGTCAATATCCGTGCCAGGGAATCCGTCCTCCAAGAAAAAATACTTTCCTGGAATCAGGGTACAAATAAATACAGCTGGAAAAATATTCTCGAGTTGCTGGAGACACATATATGGCTTTTCTATCCATGGACCATTAATTGGAGGTTATGTTGGCGGTCGGGTTTTGTTTATTGTTTTTTTAGTCTTTTAAATCACGCACAATCTCAAATCACACATATACACATTTGTTCTATTTGTTTCTAAATTATTTATATATAAATTTTTATACGAAATTAAATAATTAATTAATAAATTAATAAATTAAAATCAATTGAATGAATTACACCAACCGACGCCACCGAGAAAAGAAAAAGAAGTAACGAACAAAGGACACTACAATATGGCAACACTGAAAAGAAAGACAGCACAGAGAGAAAATCGAAATAAAGATGGAATCAAAAGGGAAAGGCGGACAACACAAAAGGAATCAAAACAAAACGGCCGACAACACAGCAACAGATGTTTAGATAGAAGTAATGAACTATTGTCCATGTAATGAACTATCGGAACTATATCCAGCTCTTTCGTTGTTCAACTAGTTTCTATGGTTCACAATGGTGCCTTCAGTTCGTTTAAACAGTATACCATAGAATTTAAACTGAATGCAAAAGGTTAGCGATTCAAAAACTATACAATTTTCGATAACTAAATCGATTACTTGATTACATTGGAGTAAAATTAATCGAAGGTTGACTTGTGATCCCTACAACAATTCTTTGAGTTGAAAGGAGAAGGAAATAAAATTGTGTTTCTTTTTATATTAATTCCACCCGTTTTCGAATTGGAGAGACCTACCAATTTGTTTCCGCTGGATTTTTGTCACCTATACGTTGTCGACAGGACATCTATACAAAGACGTGAAAAAGGAATAAAAAATATAATGTGGTGAATTGCAAACATAAAATGTAAATAAACATTGTAATATAATGTGAACCTTTTTAACTTCTATTTCAATACCTGGAGTTTGCAAATCGAAAAGAACAATTTGAATTCACTACCTATATATATACATTTGTGCATGTGTAGACACATTCCTATGGTTTATGCTCGATTATATTTCCTTGAAAAGTAATACTAAATTGGCTTACTTTGCTTTCAAGAAAATAACACATGAATTTTTTTGTGAGATATTGTTACTTCTTGCTCAAAAAATAAATAAATCATTTGATTTATTTCAATTTGTTGTTTGAAAAGCTGTGAAAAAAAATCATACGCATACATTTGTATGTATTGCATACATTAATGAGCAAACAACAAACAACTAGTCCTTGGTTATGGATGCCTTAAGAACTATGTGTAATCGATATTACGAATACAAGGAAGTAAATGAAAACGGAAACTAAAAAAATGGTTGCCATTTAGTCATTAAACAGATTTTTTTAAGTAATGCTGAATTGTAATTGAATTGGCCCACAATATTCACTTCAATAATAATTTCCTATTGGATTCTGTGAAGCACATGATGCAGAAGACATTTTAGGCCTGTCTCTGTAGGACGGTAATACACACATTTAAAATAGTTATTTTTCCGCAATTACTAACCTATCGTAACACAGTGAGACAGCATTAGTTATGTCTGTTTACTTTCCCAGCTAGATGTACTCTGCAACTTCTTGCAGGAGAGTGAGAGAATATAAATCAGAAAAAAATGTCTAAAAGTAAACAGGCGACTGTCAGCAAGAATTAGGAAAAAACCCATGTTTCTGTTTGAATGTTGATACAATAGATCATGGTGGGACATAGCTATCAATCGATTTGAACCTTTTTATTTGCTTGGCTTATCATGTCAAATTTAGTTGTGTGTATATTCTTTTCAACGTATGTGTGGACTAATTTTACCCTTCTTGTGCCGGAATGACTTCTTAGAGATACATATATAAAATAAATATTGAGCTTTAATTTAGTTTTCTGTTTTTTTTTGTTTATTTATTCAGAATCAATGCAACAAGTAGTTGTAGTTTTTAGTAGTAGTTTTTATTTAATACAAAACAACTTTTTAAATTTTCATTTAATACAAATCTACCTTGGTATTACGTCCAAATAATAAAAACAAGTAAATGTTTGAAACTAATTAATGCCTATATTTCAGTCCTCCATCGAAATGCTCCTGTTACAGTTTTCACAATATTTACAAAGGATGCCACACAAGCCCAGTTTGGTATTTTTATTGCTGCTCATTGTTTCCACTACTTTCCTGGATAAAACGGCTGCAAACCTTGAAACTGAGGCACCCCAAACAACTACTCCTGAACCGGGTGAGTATATTATATTTATATTCCTATCATATCACATACGCTACTCTATACTATTATAAATTAGGCTATTTAGATGTTACTGTTAGAGTTGTGACAATCTAGTTCGGTACACCAGTTCTTAAACGTATGAGCGATTTCATAATTTTCATATAACTCATACGCGGAGTTTCCGTACAAGCGACCGGAGTGCACGGAACTAGATAAAAGACTAGTTCGTTTTTCAATTTAAAATAATATAAGAATCGAAAGAAACTTCATCCACTTGTTTGAATGGTCGAAGAACAATGATGATGAGCAAACTCGATTGAAAGAAAAAAATCAAGTTCAAATCTTGTTGCTGAACAAAATAAACCCTCTTAAAGCTCATGTTTGATTACGAGCGGAGTAATTCAAACAGATTGTTCGATTCGATCCGATACGAAAAACATATTTTCTTGCAGATTAAGCCAAACGACCGCGTCAACAAAAATCATGTAAGAGATCAAGTATGATTGAATTACTCATAGTCGTTGCAGTTCTCTGGTGCATAAGCACCGAAGCACAGAACTTGACTTGCATTCGATTTATACACAAGTAGATTTTGAAAACACTCCATTACCTTTACTTCATTTTTTGCGATTTTTAACGTCTTGTAATAATATTTTTGCAATGTGCCAGCCAGACCATACACCAACATTCTTCGATGACAAAAGAATAGATAATTTTTTTTTAGGTTTGCGGATCATATCCTTATTACAAAGATTCCATTAATTATTAACTAATACGAGTGTTTGTTTATTGTTTAATTTATAGACGCTTCACCGGGATGCAAGGCACCAGATATTCGGTTCACTGTTGTAAAGCCAGAGACGACCACTCACCAACCGTATGCCAAGTTCGAAACGACACCTTCTTATACGGCTGATGAATTCACAACATCCGACGTAGAATTTGTCGAAAGGATTAATATTGACCTGACAGGACGTCATAACGGCAATCAAATGGGAGGCATTGTGAATCCCTATCAGGTCAGTATGAATGATCATAATGCAGCTGGAAATCTGCACGCCAACGATATGGCAGCGGCGGATGAAGACGCAGGCGAAGACGAAGATGCAGACCCAGATGGATCAACTCCAAATCCTCTCCAAAGCCGCAAGAACAATGCTAAAAAACGACGAACCGGCCAGGGTCAACGGAGGCGCATAGAAAACGAAAATGGCCAGACCCGTGGTCGCGGTAGCCGTTACAAGCGACACCTGGTGGATTATGTCGTTAATAATGCTCTCGATGCGGAAAATTCAATGGGGAACCTATCCAATGTGACAAGGGATGTGTATTACATTCGTTTCGACAACGACACAAAGAATCTTGGCCCGAATAGTGAACTCAAATATACAATTTATCGATTGAAAAGCAAACGCCGAAATCATGCGCAGAATCAAACCACATATGTTGACGCATCGGAAAATGGGATAAAGCCACATCATCGACATCGCGGGGAGATTCGGGACTTCAAACATACGCCCAGCACGGATGACCAAGACGGAAACAATGGTCTCGCACCACCATTGGAGCCGACTAAAGAGGTTGATGCTTATGCCAACACACACTCCAATGTGAGTGAAAATAGCACTTTGCAACGCGTAAAGCGCAAATCAGGCAAAACCACCGGCGCTCTTAGTCGTCCCAAGGGTGGTGGCGATTCCAGTTCAAAAACGACAAGCCGCAAGGACAAAGGTAAGTGAACGCCATTAACGTTTTAGCAGGGAGGGGAAGGGGAGGAATATTAGTAAGTCCTTCGCCAAACTCATAGTGTGTGGTGGCACCGACGTAGCCAGAAAGGCGTTTCGAAGCCATTTTAATTTTGGCATATTTGTTAGCATTGTGCTTAGGATGATTGGTGTTGGCAATGTGGTATATAGTTGCATGGAACCCTCCCGATATGCGTTATTTTTGCTATTTTGTTCTTGTACGAAAGACAAAAAACATCCGTCTAAGCATTTTCTCCTTAAGGCCGTGGTTCGCACGCACATACCATCAAAACAAAATAGCATAAACGCATGTGGGGGAAGTTTCACAAGAACCCAGTCGGATATATGCTGTGAATACTGCATTTTTATGCTTAAAAGAAGGAACTAGAAAAGCTAAAAAAATTAAAGCGGCTTTTATACATTACGCATACCTTACAGTGAAAGCAATAATGCATTGTCCCATGTATCCTTTTCCTACTGGGAAGACAACAAAGCAGGTAAACCTTACGAGAGTTAAAAATGCAAAAACAATACAGGGGTGTCAGTGAATTAGGTGCTGGCCTAAGTCAACACTACTATCACAAGACAGGGGCACTTAGTTCATTTTCACGATACTGATACTTATGGATTGCCATAAGAAGAGAAGCAGACATTGTCCAATCACACACAGACACCATCCAAATTTTGACATGAAAATGCAAAGCAAAAACATTATATCTATCTACTACATACAGTTTTAAAGTATTCTCTTTCGAACCTTTGAATCTTTGCTTTGTATTCTGTTTCGAAAAATCATTCACAGAGAGAAATAGGAATAATGCAACTGGGAAGAGTATTATTTTCCCATATCGACTTCTGAAACACAGTGGGAATATTGGAGGTTTTCCACAAAATCGATTATTAAATATTTACACACGTCGGGCTTGTTGAGAGATGGAGTTTCATATTTTTTTCTCGGTTGAAGGGCTTTTTCTTGGTTGAAGGGCTTACTATTTGAGTTCTTTTCGATGTTCCAACATGTAGTATGATCTTTACCGAGCCCTCGCTTTTTTATTCGTCTTTATAGGTATTTTTGATGAAGATGGCGGCTATTCCCCCGTTCATCCCGACGAGGGAGACTCCGACGAAGAGGACGAAGAGGAGGAAGAGATTGATATACAACAACAGTTCACTGAAGTGTCGGAAATTCGTTTCCCTGGAGAAATTGGTCCTTTGGGAGATAGACGCTTGTGCAAAATTCGGTGTGTCAAAGGAAAGTGGGTGGGTCCACTCTGTGCCACCAATGAGGAGGGTAAGTGAATGAACCGCTTAATTCTGGTCACTCATACACCGCTTACTCACTGATAATTCCACCACCTTCCGTACACGGATCATTCAACTTTACGTACTTATGTCTGTGCATATGAGCAAAGAATACACACACTGAGTGTGCACCCTGCACGCACACCACATCACAATTTAAAACACAAATCAATACCCATCCTCGCAGAGATAAATCCAAATAAAGAGAAAATAAACAGTGGATTATAGTGTCAAAATTAACGCCAATTACATATTAATATAAGCATGTTTTTTTGTTCGCTCTCGCATTAGTTTCTCTCTTTCGAATATTTACTACCACATATGTATTAAGTGAAGACATTCTATCTAACTAATATATATACATACATACACACATATACAAGTATTCAAGCACACAAATATATTTACATGCCAATGTAACGACACAACACACTGCCAACGCCGTCTACATCATCATCTGGGAACACCAAGCCGGAATCTGTGACGAAATAGATTCACCATTCGTGCACAGCTTCCGCTTCAGTTTGCAGTGTAGACGGTTTAGCACCTGCTCACGATCACTTAAAAACGATACATTGTTTGTTCGCTAAATATGAATTATAATATTGAACAATAAAATATAATGACGACAAACCAAAACTTAACTGCACCATTTTTTTATATTACGGAGATGCCTGGCTCCCAATTAATTGTTATTTCTCGTTTTATTCGAAAAAAAAAAATGAACTTGGCCGCCGTCGACCTCTGCTTAGATGAAAACGGAAATGTGAAATTTCAGCCGTTGTATAAGTCGTGTCATGTCCAAAGAATTCCGCCCTATTTACTGTTGAGTTACCGCAACATCTCTGTGGTAAGTTTGATCCAGAAATAAAGCATAAAACCCACGACCACCACCACCACCACTATATCAAATACAAATAAGAAAGACATTTGAGCACGCTACTACACATCCACATCAGTACACATGGCAATCGATTTAGTTCGAGTCTATCCAAATATCAACTCACCTCTTAGAAGCCGCAGATCATAGCATTTCTCTCTGCACCACAATCTAATCAACCAATTGGAAAGCTGTCAAACCGTAGCTCTGAGGTTTGCGCAACGACCACAGTCAATTTTCAATAATCAGCCTGTAGCAACGTCATACCAATCACTTCATTGCGTTTCCTCTCTCAAAAGAACAGCAATCGTTCGTTTCCCTTGCAATGCATTTTGTCTTGCTTTATACCAAAAAAACAAAACAAAAAAAAAATCAACAACAACAAAAAAAAACTGGTTAAAATTCGAAAGAAAAGATTCTAAAAGTGTTTTAATTTGTTTCTTTTTTTGGTTCTTTCTTTCTATTTCGACTTTTTTGCAGACCCCCATCTACCGTTCTCGTCGCAATCGAACGTCTAAATCGAATTTTATTTCCAATACACAAATTGTGAGTCCAATTTACAGGCCCTATTAGAACGTTTATCATAGTCCATCTAGAAAAATGAGATTTGCTTCGACACAAAAACAATTCCATACGATTTGGTTATTGGCTATTGTATGAGTGTATGTATATATGTATGTACATATACACTGTCAGTCGGTCGGTCGGTTTGAACAGATTCAAATCAGGTCGCACAGATGCATGGGAACATTGTTACGCCGAGACGAGGGAAAAAAATAAAAAACTTACACCAACACTGATCTTATAGCCCATGCAGCATGGATCCTACGGGACACACAACGACCACTCGAACGCAGCGAATGTGATGACAACCAGAACGTTGCCATGTTGTTGTTGTTGTTCTTTTGGCATCTCGAAACATAGGGCGACGCTCAAAGGAAGCATTCTACATGAGCCTTTAATGTAAAATCAGTTTTTATTGACAACCCATTGAGTGCTAGTTGGCAAATGAGTTCCAAACAAAAGAATCAAAACTTGAAATAAATGGTTTGAAAAAACAAGGAAAAAACCATTATGCTCGGCCTGGCAGAACTTGAAAAACCCTCTACCATTAGCTAAAGAAAAAATGTTTATAAAAAAGTATCTGGATTCCAACGTTTTTCAATTTACACTACAAATACCACTGAGATCTTCTGAATTGATACTTTTGAATTGATTTAAAATCGATTTATTGGGGTAAGTCTTCTCGCCCCATACGAGAAATTCCTAAATATTTTAAGCATTTTCTCATCGGTCAGAAAACCGCATATTTTTAATCAGAAGTGTGATACATTTTTAGTAAGCCTGACTTCATATCCAATATATACTGAAAAGTTTTGAGAGAATTGAGAGATATATTTCATAAGCTGTGCTACGGAGAGTTGCTGCTGGGAGAAATTTTTCTACTATGATCTTGGATCTTCAAAGAGCCAATCAGTTGTTCCAGCACAGTATTCATTGGTATTTCGATAAATGATATGATGGAATGACATTTTTTCAAGCATCTGTCACTGACCGTATGAATGTGTGTATATACATACATATGTTCAATGCATATACGTATATACACTTGGTATTTTTATTCGTATCGACAACCAAGTAGGGTTGATAATTTGCTTAAAATTGAAAAACAGCTATTTTAATGAGCTAATTGTCGCTAACATTTAGAAAGAAAACATTAGATACACCATCCCATCACTTGCCTCCACCCTTGCCCCTAGTAGTATATTTGGAATTGCAATAACAACAAACACACGAACAACATTAGATACACTGTAAAAGGAAGGTTGCAAAATGGCACAATTAATCACAGATCACGTCACTCTGCTCTCACCAACAATTGACTTTTGACACCACCTACACACGAAGTCACAAGTGTATGTCTCTCCATATTCCGTCTGTCAGCTGCTTTCATTCACCGAGTTGTTTTTCTCTATGGTTTTTCTTTCTTGCTCTTTTTCCATCCATCCTTCGGCTGCATTGTTGGTTCTCTCTCTCTCTCTCTCTCACTCTCTCACTCTCTATGAATTTATGTATATCTCATTTTTGTTCATGGTGCCTGATCGATATGAACATTATGCACACGCACACATATATATGTTTATGCCTACATACATATATATGTATATACACGCATGTGTTGTATGAATATGTGTAAATACTGATGCCATGTGTACGAATCCTTTCATACCAATAACTCAATTACTGCACTGTCTGTCAATGGCTGGCGGTGGTGGCGATCAAAAAAAGAATGTTGGCTGGGACCTGCCGCATGGTCACTCTCTGCAAGCGCGATGTAAAGACTTAGGTATGTACAAGCTGCTGGGCGAATCGAGGGTTCTGTGCTCGAACGGCTTGTGGGCGCCGCGAATGCCTTCGTGTGTACCCACAACCTTACTGACAAACTTTTCGGACGACAGTGCTCCGTCCATTAAATACAAGATCTTGAACGGCTCGGGCTCCTTCGAACCATCGGGAGTACTGGCAGTGTTGCCGCACAGCACAATTTTGTTAGACTGCATGTATCCAAGGGTGCGCGGCATACCCGAATGGACCTGGACTAGTTGGTATATGCAATACCCAACGGGTAAGTATCCTCCGCAATGTTTGGCTACCAGGCACAGTCGACTAGGATGACATTGCCTTGTTTGTTGCAGGTTGGACCCATGAGGATAAGAACTTACGCTATCGCCTAAGCATTAAAGACATCGAAAGCAAGGACTCTGGGACATTTACTTGCACGTCGCCCAGAGGTCTCACTAACAGTGTTAGCATAGCTGTAGCGCAATCCACTTGCCCGCAGCTTCCAGAACCGGCGCCACCGCTCACATTGCGTTTAGAAGGTAACAAGCTAGGCCAGAGGGCTATGTACCGTTGCCCACCTGGCTTCAGAGTGGATGGTATTGTAAATGCAACATGTTTAGCTTCCGGCAATTGGTCATCGCCGCCGCCAACGTGTCAAGCTGTCCAATGTCCACGTTTGATTTTAGATGATCCACACCTGAGTTTGGTTGAGTTGAATACATCTGCTTGGGGGCGGGCGGTGTTCAAATGCCAGTGGGGTTTCAAACTGACCGGTCCACCGGGTTTGGAATGTGATCCGTCGGGCGTGTGGAGTGGCACAGTACCCAGATGTAAAGGTATGCAAATGAAGAACATTATTTTTTATCCATAAGGAACATGGTGCTATTGGTCATTTACTTTCCATCGGTTTTTTTTAAATATATGTATATGTAATACGGTGCACTGCAAAAATAATTACAGGCGAAGGGCCGCCAGCTATGAAAGAAGATTAAGAATTAAAAGATGCTAGTATCGACAAAGTTACCTAAATAGCAACCCGAAGAATAATTATGCACAAGTATTTAACCCTTAAGCGACTCAATATACAGAGTTTCTTCTGTTTCGTTTTTTTCTCAGAATATACTAAAAAAGGGAAGTGGGAAAAAATGGCCAACCCTCGGCCTAATTTCATCACGATAATTCACTGAAACCTTAAAGTTTTTGTGTAAAACAATCGGGATCAATAAATGTGGTTACAATTTAAAAAATATATATATTTTATACATATCTGGGAAGGGATACAATAGCACAAATTTATTGAGTCGGTTAATGGTTATCATTTGAGCCACAAAAATTGTCTTCCACTTTTTTTTTTTAATTTTACCACTTTTTGGGTAAATGGCGATACTTTTCTGTAATTTTAGAATGAAGGAAATATTTGAAAATTGTAGAGCTGCTTTAAAAAAATTAACATTACGTAACAAGTTTTAAAAATCCTATTTCTTCTATCACATTTAAATGAAATTGTAGATGTCGTAACAACAGAGTAAATGCTTCTAGTAGTAGAAAACTTTGCGTATGAGTGATATGAAATTTATGAAATCACTCATACTTTTAGGAACTGGTGTACTGAACTGTGGTACAGTGAATTAAAGGTAGCAATTTAGTTTATTTCTATGGATTATTATGTAGAATTTAAATATGTTTGAGTGTGTATTCTTAAAAATTATACACAGATTGTTTGTAGATTTTTGTTGGTAGAAAGGAATTCTTATGTCACCTGAAAAACCAGATATGAATGTAAACAAAGAAGAGTAAAGAACAAAAATTTATCTTCGTGACGTAATTCAATGAAGAATGTGTAGTTTTAGGAACGTACCCCCTTGGTGGGTATATTAAGAATCCACAAAAAATCAGCTTTGGTAAAGTCTCCAAGTTATTGCATTTGAGTCCTAAACGCCTGAAGCTTAATTTCTAACATTTTGCATGAGGTCCATGGTTGTTGTAAAATAGAGAGAAATTGTACTGAAGATATACAAAAAGAATTTGGGCGAACATGGAAAACTAGACATCTCATTGCAGCGTCAATTCCTTATGGGATATCCTGAAATTAAAAGTTTTTGCATAAGACAAACTACCTGCAAATCTGCAAGATTTACGTCGCATCGATTATGTAGATATTTGTAACAGCGTTATCTCCTATGGTAAAATGTTTCATACGTCCGTATTACCCAAATACGTCAGGTTCATATATAACGTTATGACAAATAATAACGTAATTTTCCAATTACAAACATTCACATGTTTTGTATTATTCACACACAGAAAATTGTTCAATTTTCAATGTTGAAAATCTTCAACTTTGAAATCTTTTACGCCCGACCTATTTGGGTAACTCTAATATAAATGCATATGTTCGAATTGTGTGGTGAAAAACGTCTACTGACGACGTCGAATTTTAGGTAACGCTGTAAAAGAAACATAGATCCAGTTCGGAGATGGGCAATATCGGTCCACTCCTTCTGGTACCGCCCCCACAAAAGTTCGAAATTTTCAAAAAAAAATATATATATTACAGCGCAGAAAGAGAAAGGACAATCCTATTTTTGCTCCAACATTACAAATATTTGAATAAGTGCTACGTCAGGTGCGAAAATGCACAATATCGGTCCACTCCATCGGTCAACTGTGACAAAAGAGTTCAATTGTCTTCAAATTTCACACATCACAATATTTTTATTAACCCAAGATCAAGTGTAAAGATGATAAATATCAGTCCACTCCTTTTTGTACCTCCCCCACAAAGGGTCGAACTTTTGAATATCCATGAAGCTCATAAAACGCGAAATTAGCATCCAATTCCATTCAAACTCGGCACATCTCAATATTTCTATTAACACAAAATTTATTATAACGATGGTATAGATCGAACCACTCCTTCTGGTACCTCCCCCACAAAGGGGTCAAAATCTTGAACAACCAAAACGATCATAAAATTCGAAATAAGCATCCAGTTCTCTTTATATTTCACACATCCCATTATTTCTACTAACACAAGATCTGCTTTGAAGATGGGATATATAGGAGCACAACTTCTGTCATCGGAAAATACGATTACGTCGGTGCTCAAGTCTCAAAATTGTGCACTTCACTCGCTCTCAAGTACTGGACTTTTGGGATATCGAACAACAATGACTAATGATGATTGATGACTAATTTTTACTGGAAAAGTTATCGTAAAAAATTATTGTGTTCCCGTAATTTGTAATGCAATACAGGAGAGAATTCTTAACTTCGTTCTAAAAGAACAAAAATTAGGTTCAAAAGGTACCAAAAATAGTGACCATATCCATAGACAAATCCATAGAAAATATAGACAACGAAGTGGTCTCACCGTTTATCTTCGCAAAAATCGGATCAGCAGAAGACGTTTATATCGCTTCAGGGGTTTGAGTGGGTCGCTCAATTCTTGACTATGCAAACATGATGAGATCCACCTGTATAAAAAGACAAAACTAACTTTTCCTTGTCTATATTTTCTTTTGACTATGCCATATCTTTAACTTTCAAATGTTAGCAAAAAAACTACAATTTCTGGTCATTTTTAAAATAACATTTGTTTTGATTTGTTCGAAAATAGTACAGATTGTCCTAAAAATTGTAACATCATCGATGATTCTGAAATAAGAAGAAATTTGCATTGCGTCCACAAGGAATGTGAATTGTTTAAACGTTGGCTTGTGAAATGTATTAATAATACCAAAAGGGCCGTTCGTGAAGTTTTTTAATCCAAAGAAACATTTGCATAAATTTTTGAAATAAACACCTTGCTCTGACTTAACTACGATTTTTCTTACAGCCATACAGTGTCCAACGCCTGTAGCCCCGTTGAATGGACGGATTGGGGGTACGAATATGAATCAACGACGCCTTACCGTTGGAGCGCTTATAACTTTCAGTTGCAACGAAGGTCACACCCTGGTCGGAGAGCCGAGTATTATTTGTACCGAGAGTGGGCTATGGTCTCATCCACCGCCGTTTTGTAAGTAAACTGAAACCAATGAGTACAACCTATTCCACACATACATAAGTGTATGTAACCAAGCTACCACTACATGTACATTTGTATGGACATAAGAATAAGACATCGCGTGGACCACTGTAATTGGCTCGGGCAACGCCTTGATATCTCCAAAAATTGAAAACATTCCATGGATTTATTAGTCGATCTTCCAATTAGGCGATGGTAGGCAGATGTGTTCGGATGTGCCGCTGAAAATGCACGTCAGTATGGCGCCTTCCTTGTCTCATTATATGTGCATATGAATGTATAGAGATATGTAAAAAAATATAAACAAAATACTCACAGAATATATTGTGCCAAACCGTTAAACGTCGCGAACGTGTTAAATCCCCTGTAGCCACACCTTAGATTAATAGTCAAGTTTTATGTGCTGATATATAAATTACAATAACATGCGCTGGTTCAAGTGCTATCATTAAACGGTTTGTGTCGCCCTTAGATCTCCCCTTAGCTGCCGATGGGACATGAGTTCGTTGACTGACAGTTCGTATCAGTAGAATTTGAATGTTCCTCGACAGGCAACGGCTTCGCACTCCTTTTCAAGTATAGGTCTTCTTTGATGTTCTTGAATCGATCTATGTGTACGCTTTCGCCACAATTTATATTTTGAGGTGGATATTGAGAAAGGAACATGGCACTTGAACAATTTAGTAAATGCTATGCAGCTTCCTTTTATATATATGTGCTATATAAATACAAAAATATATCTATATTTTCCTATCCTTACTTCAATACGTACATATGCATATGTATAATACTAGAAAATTAAACAAAAAAGTGTTAATGCAACAGACGACAATGTAGTCGATTTAAATACACACAACACATGAATTGTTAAATTATATTTAGTTGTTATCTTGCATTAAATGAATCTTTGAAACTAATACACTGTTTGTCGTTTTTGTCAAATGTGAATATGCGTGTGCACGGGTCGCAGGTTAATGCATGCTTTTCCGTCAAGCTGTAAATGCTAGGTAGGAACAGTGACTTTAGCTACATATTACACTAATGATTGGTTCACTGGAGGTGGTAAGTATTGGACTCGTGCTTAACATCTGGGACGAAGAATAAGTATCTATTGAAAGAATCGAATTTGGTCTGGCTCGAATGAAGCAAGGTCATATGACAAAAACTGCTAATTTTCAAAATCCACATGAAGATTCTTCACGTAAGCTTAACTTTATGAATTTGATTTTCCGAAATAGACACATGTACGTTGTTTGGTTAAAAGCCAGTTAAGACAGGTGTTAAACGAAAAATACATAAATACACACTGATGTTCCTAACAATGGACATAGCCGAGCCTTTTTGAGGCTGTTGTAGTGGGGTTACTAAAACATAAAATGAACAAGCAAAGAAAAGTTGAACAGATATTGAAGTAGGCGAAGTGCTTTTATGTATTGCCATTGACGCAAATTCAATACACTTACACACACATACACATTTCTACCTTTGCTGTTGATTCCAGCATCTGACACATTCTTATCATTTCTGGTTCCATATAGGTAAATCAGGGTGCCCTTACCCCGGAGATCCTCCAAATGGACTTTTGGCACCGTTGAAATTTAATTACGAATCCGGTGACTATATAAGTGTCCAGTGTCGCCCGGGTTATATTCAATATAATGAGATTGGTGGTCCACCAGATCGGCCCAAATGCCTGCCTGATGGCAACTGGTCTAGTCCTGTACCAAAATGTCGTAGCTACGAAGATGTGTAGCTGATAAAATCGAAAACTTTGTTTACCCGTTTAGACTATTTTAAGCTAATTAACTAATTTAACCCGCACCAATTTCTTTGTACAGAGATCACGTCACCTGCCAATCCTATATATGTAAAAATATATATATTTATTTATAAAGTATTCATCCCGTGATTGTATATGAACGTTATGTAATTAAATTCCCAAGATTAAAATGTATCTTTATGTCATAGGCTTTGGAAACAGTCATCTGGGTGTATTTAAAATGTAAGGGGTTCAATGTAGATAACCCGTCAACCTGGATCGGGTTGCTTTAAGAAGCTTCAACTAGCTTTTTGGAAGTTTATACACTTACATAAATATGTGTAGGAAACCACTTCCAAATATGCATTATTTTAAAATTTCTTACATTGGCAATTTGCAGCTTACAAATTTAATCCCATGTCAGAAGAACATTTCAAGTCAAACCTCAAGCAGTCAATTCATGTTGGGCGTGTTTTCCAATTATTTTGTGAAATGAATGCGACAAAATTGTCATTCGAAGTCTTCAGGGTAGTCTTTTACATTTGTGATTTATTTTATACGATGCAATTGCAGAAAACTAAAAGTTAAATTAGATAAATTCCTTTCGCTGCATTGGATAAACTCCTTTCGATATTCCCCCAGATATGTTATCAACCACGCTGGTCGAAAACAATATAGCTTTCAAAACGTTATACAATGTGAATTTTTTTTGACATAGGAATCAATCGCATTAAATAGTTAAATAGTGTATTGATACTTGATATTAGTGTATTTACACATAATTAGTTGTTTGATAATTCGTTCCACCAAACTCTTGTAATTTACTTACATAAGAAAAGAAAAATGTAGCAATAAAAATAAAATTTAATTTTTATTAAAAGAAAATAAAAGAAATCATGTTCTTATTCCTATTTTGCTTTTGTTAAGACAAGCCTAACACGCTGGGTGTGGTAAGTGACATATGTATGTTAGCGTCCTAAAATACTTTATTTGGTTAAAAAATCAATATTAGGTACATCGTACATACATGAGTACGGGGCTACCCCAAGCAATGCATTCCCAGCACGATTTGACTGTAGTTGTTCTACAGTAATGAACAGTGATTGAGCTGGCTGTCCATGCAGCCAAGAGAAAAGTCAGCGAGAGGGCCGCTTTATTTTGTTTATTTTTTCGTGTCATACAATACCCAGCCAAATGTTTAATACCAAAGAAGTATTTCAATAATGAACTCAAGTGATTCCAAACTACAACATCGTGGTTCAGAAAAGTTATGATACGGCCAGAAAGTTGACTCGTTCGCATCTTGATCATGTCTGGTGCAACACCCAGGATTTTGAATCAGTTTGATTTTCCTGAATAAAAAAGTATTGGTAAATAAAATTCATGGTAAATTTTTACGTTTTAGAGTAAAATTTTTGTAAAAATATAAAATAAAATGAACAAATTAAAAATTGTGACTTCATTGTGAACTATTTTAATTTTATTTTACTGAAATAATGCTACAACACGTTAATTCAAAAGATGTGAACACTATGGAAGATGGTCTGTATCCTATTCGATAGAATACATTTAAATTTATTTTTAAATAACTTGAGCAAAAATATAAAATTCAGTAATATGAAGGAATTCCAACTCGGTACAGATTGCCTAAAAACAAAGAGTGGAATCAGTTCTTCATATACAAAAGGCTTTTCTCAAATTTATAAAAATGCCGATCTTGGTTTGTTCATTTTTCGCCGCTCTTTTTTGCATTAAAACATTTGGTTGGGTATGTGCATGATTCCTCTCAATTAAAAAAAAAAACGGAAACTCTCTTAAGTTATCCGAAATATGTAAAAATATACACAGCACTTGGGTAAAGATAACAAAGTATTGCCGTCCAAATTAAACGACGGGATATAGATACCTAACATTTTCTAATGATATTAACTATTAGCGGCAGTAAATAAAGTATAATTGGTTTAAAGTAAACGTACACAATGGTTGATGTATGCATGTAGGTTATGAAATGTTGTCCCACTACTATTTACCGAATTAAATTTGAAAGCTCTAACTGGATGAGTTTTAGAGATATCAATATGAATATTTGATAGAAATATAAAATGAGATAGATAGAAGATAGACAGGTAGAAATAAGCTGTGATTCGATTGATTAAATTGATCAATAAGTTTTCAATAATTCTTTCTTCTGTTTTGAGATACGTCGATTGTGAAATTTGTTTTCATAGATAACGAACTGCCGAGGTTAAAGCCGCTGCTGATGTTGATCTTATTAGCGCTTTTTATCGATCTCATTTATGCTGTTCAAATTAAAAGAAATCATTTAAAATTTTATTTATTCTCGTTTATTTAGAGGCATTAAGAGGTAAATAAATGTGAACATAACATTTTTATACTATTTATATTATTTTTGTTTTTGTTTTACTCATTTTAATCACAGCAGTCTTTATGTAATTTACGCCTTATATAGCTATTCTTACTCTTACAGAATTTAACTAAAAATGATATCAAATGAAAGATGGGTTTGTGGAAGAAGACGGGACATTATCAGAAAAAAGATTCAATTACAATTTTAAAATTAATATAATTATAACGATAAGGAATACTGCTTAACAGCAAGATATTATGTACATAAATGTGCTGATATAACTTCAAACTTGAAAGGAAATAAACATCGTTAGCTCTTGCAGTTTGCCTGGAATGTTACTATGTTAATGTTATGACTTAAATAAAATTGCTTTCGACCAATATATGTGGATTGGTTGTTTCCGATAGGTGTAACTGTGCATCATTGCAAAATGAAACAATAATTCACATTACTTACAGGACTAAACGAATGTCTTAGAGGACACCCACACTCATATTATGTTAAATCTACTGCTTTGAAATTAATCCTATATTACGCATTATTCTAAGGGGAAAAACTACGACTATATTACAAATTATACATAGAACAATTGACTTTGACGATCTTAAAACAATTACATTGTGAATTTGAACACTGCACATCATCTTTTCAAAGTGAAGGTGGTAAATATTATCTGAAATCATTTGAAATGGCCTTGCTAGTGCAGCTTTAGTGGTTTTATGACTTGCGAACAGCCAGAGTAATAAAATAAAAGCGTTCTAGCACGAGTCAGGATGAATTTCATTTCGGTGTTACAATGACTTGTGGGCAAGATTGACCATCTTGTGATTGTTTTTTTTTTTAATGTCTATAGTCAATATTGACATGAAACGTATGGAAATTTAGTTTGAAGACTTGGTGTACTTTGGCTTGGAAGTAGATCTTGAATGCCAAACCAATTCTATTTTCTTGATGTGCAAGGGCTTGAAATTTTATTATACCAAATGCATTTTTATTTCGTCAAGGTTCGCAAAAATAAATGTTGTACTGTCATTTACCGTTAATCAGTAATATTTCGTATTAGTACTAGCTGTACACACTTAGGGGGGACAACTTTACACAGGGTTTTGATGGGGACAAATCGTTCGTATTTATATAATTATCAGTTTAAATTTGTTTTAAATGTATCGTATTATCCGCAAAATTAAATGGTATATGATATGATAACCTTTAACAAAGATTACGGAATTCGAATGTTTAACCAACCACTTGTTGGATATTGAGTTGGTTTATAAGTTGTTGGCACAATTTGCCATATTCAAACTGATCGCCGGATATTCGCCTTAGTTTGATTCCCTTTCCTGAACTCTGGCTGTCACGACTTCGGCCTTCGCACACTTGCACTTCTATTTGCAAACCTCCGGAATATTCTAGACTAAGATTAGTTGTTATGTAGGATGGAGATAGGTCCAAAGAGAAGGTGCTGGAGCCTTCTGAGAGAGCTCCTGCAGCAGGCCTGAACTGAGTCCAGCTGGATGGACAATTGGAAACTGACGGAGGCGTTTCAACGGTGTGTAAAGTAAATCCTTTTGGAGGCATTGTTGAATCTATTGTTTGTTTAATCATTTCGAGAATTCGTGTAGTGTCTAAATTGGAACATTCGTAGGGAAGGGGAACTTCATAACACATGTCCTCAGACATACGACGTGATTCGCACATAGAATCTGGTGTTAAATGACCCTCGGTGTGATCCCCTACCTCGGAGTGCGAATCGGACTTGAATCCCGAAGATGCGGAAGGTTCTTGGCTAGGCGATAAATTATTGGAGTCGTTGCTTAAGGAATCATCGGAGAAGCCAAGAGATTTGTCGCTGCCTCTTCTATCCACCGACGTTGCAGTCGGCACGTTTGGTTCCGTCTCTAGGGTCATAGTTTTAACCACATTCCCACGGGCTATCGTTGGCATGTCATTCGATGTTTCTGTTATCATTAGGTCTTGAAGCGACATTAATGAAATGACATGGTGTTCAGACGAATCCGAACTGTTTTCGTTACTAAATTGAGAAGATTGTGCAACTAATGTTATTTCGCTGCCCTGAACATCGGTCAGACAAATCTGGGGATGTGATGGTTGCTGTCCTGGCGATACTACCTCTTCTGCGGACGATAACGTTCCAGAAGATGGAGTAGGAGTTATACCACCAGTGCATCCCGCGTATGGCGTTCCAGTTGTTATTGTGTGACCCATTTGGGTTGTGGCATTTTCTTCTTGTATTATACATAAATTTGGTGATGTTGGAGGTGTTGTGACCACCCTTATAGGCTGAGCAGGCGATAAATTCAAAGGTTTCATATCGTAATATGTTGATGGTGGCAGAAACCAGTTCTGCGACACATACGAACCTACAGGTGTTTGCGAATCATCTGACGAACCGACATCCATAGACAAATCCAGGGGTTGCAATGCTGCAGCAGCTATTTCGCTGGCCGCAGACGTTCCTCGGGTTATTGAGCCGCCACCTCCCGTTGTTAAATACGAAATACCCTTCGTGATTTGATGTAATGGCGATGAACCACCGCCGCCTGTTGTAGTCCCACTACTTGCACCCGGCATTCCAGCATTTGCCAAGGACGTGCCGCTAAAATTACCACTGCTTTTCAGCGCTATTGAAAACGGTTGTGCGTAACAGGAACCTAAGATGGCGTTCATATGCAAGCTTCCAGCTAAATTCATGTTATTACCAGCAACATTTTGGTAATATTGGGACGAGCTATTCTGTTGCATTATTGGACCGCTGGTTGTTATGCAAATACCACTTTCTTTCAATGGACTGTTCGTTTGTTCGCCGAAACTATTCAAAGTTGACATTGAGAGCGGAGATGTACTGGAACTATGCACCTGCTGCAGCTGGGGATGAGCTCCGAAACCCTCTGAAGAACTGTTTCCATGTGCTGCTAACCCCAAGAGTTGAGCCATATCTAAAGGAACTTGCCTAGTGGATATTATATTACTTGCTATCTCCATACTGATCCTCTGCTCTTTAATTAACTGGTCTAATATCGGCACAACGGTTTTAAGAGCCTCTGATGGGATTTCGATGTCATGTGAGGCCAATGTCGACGGTGTTCCAGTGCGACGAAAAACATTGTTGAAACCAGAATTTTTCCCATGTATTGGAGAACCTTAAAGAAAGTTAGACAAGTTAGCAAAAATCTTTCCTGATATATAACAATTCGATGTGCTTTAAACTAAAGCGAAGCTATTCGTATTCGCATGAAACGTATTACAGGAATAGTATTACAGAACCTTTTACAGCATACACACATAAGGACATTTTTCAAAATTAAAAATAAATAAACGAATAAAAGCACATGTGTATTTAAAATTTCATAATTATGTCAATGTACCTGGTAAACTTATTGAGTTTTCCAAAAGTGGGGGGCTGGGTGCTGCCAAAAAGTTGCGCTGTGCAATTCCCTTCTGAAGATACTGACATTCTTGCAATGGTCCTTGAAATTGTGTCTTCGATCCCTCGGATGCTCGACGTACAGGACTATATCGACCTACAAACAAACGAATGATTAGTAAACATATAAATGCGATTTTTAGAGGGGAACACAACGAAAATAAAAGGCAGAAATTAGGCAGTAAGTATAATTCAAAAAGTTAGCCGATGTTTATGTTGTTCCAGTTCTATGTTTATTAGAGTTGGAAACAATAATAATTTGACCAAGTTGTGCAAAATGGTAACAACAATCTTAAGCGGTTTGTCTTGAAATTTACTCAAGAGTGTCAATTTTTTATTTTTTTTTTTAAGATTCTTTGACCATTTCCTAAAGGTGTGTATATATATTGTGAACTCATGGTTAGCCGTACATATTCCATAATACGGGAAGTATTTAAGTTTCAGTTTCCATGATTCAACCCGCAGCCGCTAAAACCACCATCTCAATATCTATAAAAACCGATTGGGGCTGTCACCTATACAGAGCAAACAATACAACTTACCAACTTCTTGAACGGGTGGTAATTTCCCAGACTTGTTATAAATGCGTCTATTGTTATAGGAAACAGTCGCCGAACTTGCGGTTGCTGTGGGGTTTATGGGCATTGTTGTTGTACTTCCAAGGACTGAAGTGCTCGCGACAGGGTAGTTACAATTATTAGTCGAACTATTGAATGAAGAATTCACAACGGAAGGTGGAGATAAACTAAATCCACCCGAATAATTGCATTGCATTTTTAAAGCTGGAGGCATATAATTACGATTCATGCGAGATTCGACCTCACGAATAAGCTCCGGACTTATGACTTTTTACAAAAATATTTTTTATAAATTATAAAGCAATACGTCAAGCAATTCGTCGGCAACGCGCATGTGTTTTGTGTTTCAAATTTGTTGGGTATGTTTGCCAAGCGTCGTCAAATAAATCAGAAAACATAAAAATATAAAAAAAAACAAAAACAAAACAAATTAACAAAATAAAAATGAACTTAAAATTCGGAAATGGTAAGCTTGAAATGGGATTCATGCACGCAAACGTATGTTTGAGCTTAAATAAACAAAATTTTCTAATTACCCGGCGGTCGTTCTGTCACAGTAAGTAGACCTGTGCGTCTGGTTCGCATGCCGGTGCTAACTCCAGTGGCATTTGGTATTCCGGCCGGTGTTTGGAGTTTGGAATTAATGCCACATTGGTCTCCCGAATGATGGCTAAGCGATAAATCTTCGGTACAACCGACCGTATGGCGCTTTCCCCTCATTTGCATGTACCTATAAACATCTGCTTCGTAAAAAAGTTCTCAAATACAGATTTGAAACATTTCTATCACCTTTGAATTTCTTCGGGTTTTTCATCAAGATTTATGCTGGCGGTTTCTGTAGGGATTCTGTTAGCGGCACTGGCAGTAGGAATTAGTTCATTGTTGGTTCCCGTGTTTGGGTGCATAAAAAATGTTTCGTTTTGTTCGGAAGGCCTGTCTACAGTAGAAGACTGGTGACCAGTTGTAAAACTGTAAGGCAAGTTGGCTCCGCCATCTGAAGCTCGTCGGTTGAAGGAACCGGCTTAATGAATAGAAGGTTGTTTAGATATATTAAATGACTTTATTTCTTGAAAAGGTGTACTTACTTGCTCCCATTACCAACGGTGGTTTCAACAAATGCTGATCTTTTGTGGTCAGATAATGTAGAGGTTGGTTTTGCAAGGTCGGCAAATTGATGGGTGGATATGGATAAGATTGTTGTTCGTCTTTCGAAGGTTCATATTTAAAGTTCAAGGCTATAACATTTGTATCCTGAAGGGCGTGTTCGTGAGCAACATCGCCTGGCCCCACCGTGTGTCGCCTTGTGTTGCCATTGCCTTGGCTTGTGGAAGGTGTTGTGCATAGTTGATTTTGGTGTAAATTCTGAAATGCAATTGAAATTAAATAAATTTTAAAGTTACAACGAGTTAAGTGGTCGTCCACGTATATTTTTTTAAAAAATTCTTCCTTTCAGAAGCTTAATTTTCTGTCCAATATTTTCTACAGTAAAATTGTAAGAACAACTCTGCGATAAGTACATACCTCGTTTGGTCCTTTCATGCGTTCCAATTCAATGTCACTACTAAACTTTTCCAATTCAACATTAATATCGGTCCACGGGTACGTCGATTCGGGTTGGGCCGCGTTTGTATTTACAAGAGGGCTTAAACGGTCCAATGAATCTTGTTGCAGAGGTTCAGATCGATCTACCATTCCAGTCGTAATGCTGGTTCGAGACCTGTCAAATGTACAATCTAATATTGCGGCAAAATAGGAATTTATGTAAACTAACCTGGCTCTATTTGCGTGCTGCTGTATTTTCTGATGCTCACGTCGTTTCTGCTCCAATTTGTCATACAATAAATAATATATGGCGTAGATATTATCGAAACGGTTCTCGTGAACAGATTGGGCGATTTTATCTGCTGTCAATCCGGACAACTGCAACATATGAGATACAACAACTGTGTCTAAGTTCGGTACCGATGTAGTTTGTCCACTGGATGGAACGTCGGAACTCAGAAGTGGTGTTTGCGAACAATCCCGTTCAACTTCGTTCATCCATTCGCTCACCCAGCGGTGCTTCATCACTTGTTTGATGGTATAACGTTTCTCGGGTTCCACCACCAACATGTTGCGTATGAGGTTTTCACAATCTATAACAAAACCAGACAAATTGGAATCCGATATATTGGTGGGCTGTGTAAAAGATTCACTCACCCTGGGACATAAAATATGGAATGCGAAATTTGCCAGTTACCACTCGACTTTTCAATTCTAATAACGTTTTTCCGTCGAATGGCAACGCCCCGCACACCATTGCATAGAGCACTACTCCTAAACTCCAGATATCTGCTTTGGGTCCGTCATATTCTAGGCCCTGAAAAACTTCCGGCGCAGCATACGGGGGCGACCCACACCATGTAGTAAGGGGACTACCATCTTCGTAATGATTGCTAAATCCGAAATCAGCCAGCTTGATGTTCATATCCTTGTCAAGCAACACGTTCTCTGCCTTAAGGTCACGATGGACCACTCCCTTGCGATGGCAGTAATGAACCGCCGAGACTAACTGCGAAAAAACTCTTGCCGCCTCGGGCTCCTTCATTCGTCCATTATCGACAAGATGATCAAAAATCTCCCCGTTAGCAGCATACTCCGTTACCAAATATATCATGGTTTCCGATTGCATTACTTCGTATAGACGTGTTATGTGTTGGTGTCTAAGCGTTTTTAAAATAGATATTTCTCGGTAAGTCTTTGCCAGGTACTCCTCATTGAGACAAGTTTTGTCTATTATTTTTATAGCGACCTAAAAATATTTCGGAATTTATTATTGTGATGGCATCATAAATGGAACATGGCAATGTTCTACCAAGAAGAAAAATAGAATATTTTTTGAAAATTTTCCTTGATTTCTTGATTGGCTTCAAGATAGGGATCTTGCGTATTTGGGTAATATGGCCGTATAAAACATACTACCATTGCGAGGATGGTGAGTATTTTTGTGTGGCACGTGAGGTATTAGGTAAGGGGCTAAATTTCGAAGTGTACTAACCATGTTTTGACAATACCTCTATAGAAAATGTCCATTCAAGGGAACGGCATTAACCTTCCCAAGAACATGTAGGGTCAATTTTGGTACATCCTAAAGGAGGGAACGAAAAGTAATGCAATCTGTGTCTGCATCGAGAGATATGTGATTTTCCCTGCTAGCTTAACGTCTATATAATTTAACAAAGGACGGCGTCGGTCGGATGTAACGCAACCATTTGAGGGACTTGATGAATATTTAACATGATGACAGTGTACTTCGTACCGCTCCTTATTTCTGAAGGAGAACAACAGATGCAGATCAAAGTATCATAGATTCGAGCAGAATGTTATGTTGCTATGATGCGTAAATTGACTGATTATGAAATATATGAGAAATAGGTTTCAATTTTTTTGAATTTAACGGTGTTAGGACTAGTGTTGCAGTCTGACATCAGGTGAACCACAGAATTCGGTTTTATACACCGTTCTAGATAAAGATATATTTTGAGTTTTCATGAAAAAAATGAATTTTTGCACAAGAATTTGTTTTTGTTTTGCCGTGAAAATGTGCCTTTCTTGAGGGTATTCGATACAAATGCAGAACGCTATAGTTGGATTATTACAAAGTCTTTTATTGTGGAATAGCAACGGAGACACCATTGGCCTGTCGATAACCTAACTGCATTTCGTAGCTTACTTACCTCCGAGGGGGTTTTTTGCCCAGATGCATTTACCAGGCTTAACAATAATAATAACTTCTATGTATGTCATAAGAAAATTAAAATTAAAAGCTCAAGTGTTTGCAAGGAACGCTTAATCAGTGTTGCGCGTTACCCAAACAACAAGCAACGAGGGAGTAAAATTCCAAGTTCTACAAAGAATCAATTACAATTGAATTGATTTTTTTAAATTCCATCATGATTTGCATAGTACCCCAAGACTTTAACTGCAGCGTGTTGTACCATGATATGGAGAAGAATGTGTCGCCTCAGACAAAGAAATTGATAAGGTTGTTTCTTAAAAACAAAGATAGGCCGGTTATAAACCAGCGCTTACTGATAATTTAAATATTGAGCCAGCAGATGTATATTCCGACAAGACAGTTCGGTCGCTCAAGTCTTTGTTGAAAGCAACTAATGAAAGTACCGTGATGTGGTTTATTAGCGCGTTCTTTGCGAGTGCTCTTTTTCTCGTCGGTCTTTATGTCTACTTAACATGGCACTTTGATCACTGGCGTAAAAGGGGAATTCCAGGTCCAAGCCCCCAAGTACTGGTTGGCACATTTCCTGGCACTGTTTTGGGAAACAGGAGTCTAATTTATGATCTCGATGATATATACAAGTAGGTAATGGTAAAATACTAAAATATCGGAAAATATTGTTTTCGTTAAAGGAAGTTTAAAGGACTAGCACGATTCGTTGGTGTTTTCATGACGAGAAAACCGCAATTGCTAGTGCTTGATCCGCAATTGTGCAAGGACATTTTAGTTGGCAAATTTCAGTGTTTTCAAGACAACGAATCATCAAAATGGGTAAGAGTTCAACCATTCATAATTCTAACAAACATGGCATCATAATTATAATGCAGATGGATCGCCAAAGGGAACCAATATCTGGAAGTAATCCGTTTGTCCTGCCGTCATCAGAATGGAGAACCCAAAGAGCAGAAATCGTGTCGGGATTAACAAATATCAAGGTTCGTAAGTAATTCCCTAGACAAACTAATGAAATGGGCCACAGCCTTGAGGCTCATGGATAATTTTTGCAAAATAATGTTTTTCAGATTAGAAATATGTACCCTATTATCGATTCCATTGGAACAAAGCTAGTCCAATATCTTAGGAACATGGCGACAAGCGGAGAGTTCGACATTAATGCCAAAGAGGTATGCAAATTAATAAAAATGTGATGCTTTCACAAATTATATCGGTCGATAGGTGTCCTTGCGTTACACAGCAGAAGTTGTTGCCGATGTAGTTTGGGGTATAGAGACTGACAATTTCAAAGCAACCAGTCGGGAACATGACTCGACGTTTTTCGACATGTCCAAACGCATGATTGCTCAAACGTTTAGAGCGTTTAAATATTTTTTTGTCGCGGGCATATTTCCCGCCATACGATCCATTTTGTATGTTCGGTTCTTCCCCGAGGAGACGGATAGTTTCTTCTTAAAATTAACTCATTTCGCATTGCAATCCAGGCATCAGTCACCAATACGCAATGATTTTCTGCAGCATATGCTGGAGCTGCAGCGCACCAGGGGGCTGAGTGATACAGAAATATTGGCCCACCAGTTAACATTCCACTTTGATGGCTTCGAAACGTCCGCAACCCTAATAAGCCATTGCTTATTGTTGGTAATAGCTAAAAAAACGTCCTCGTATAAATTAATAACAACAATTGCATTTCAGTTGGCCAGAAATACAGATAAACAGGAGCAACTGCGAGCAGAAATAAGGGACCATATGATTGCCAACAGTAATGTTTTGGATTTCCCCAATTTAATGAAACTTCCCTATTTGGAGCAGTGTGTCGCAGGTAACAATTTTTGTTCATACATACAAAAACTAATTTTTATTTTTGGCGTTTTATGTCTGTTTGGCAGAGACTCTGCGCATCTTCACACCTCTACCATTTATGACTAAGCTCTGCACAAAAACATGTTCATTCGAAAATACCGACGGAGTTAATTTGACTGTGCAACCTGGAGACGTTTGCATGATTTCATTACATTCTATTCATCATGATGCGGAATATTATCCACAGCCGGAGGACTTTTTACCAGAGAGATTTTCGCAGGCAAATGGCGGAACAAAAAAATTTAAGGATATGGGCATATATATGCCTTTTGGTGATGGTCCACGCATTTGTTTAGGTAATCCGTTTCTAAAAGATATTTTAACCCCTTGTCAAAAGTTATTTCTCAAATTTTTTAAATACTTTTGTAGGCGTAATTCATTGATCATGCAGCACTTAAAAAATAATGTGCTACAATTTAGTTTAGAGTAAAAACAAGTATTAAGTGTTACATGAGAATGATATTACCATACAACTTCCCATTATAGTGTATGCCACAGCCTCTAGGTTATATTTTGAATTATTTTGTGTATAAAGATCGTGGATATTATAAAATTCACCTAGAATATAAATATTTTCGCAATATTTTGACAACACCAATACGAATTAAACCTCAGCCTCATGTAAAGCACCAATACCAACATTCGATTGGCGGCCGATCTTGCTGGAGAAATAACTTTTTGTGCTTAGGAATTTGATTTTTACATTTTTGTCGTATTTCGTAGTCGTAGTCGCTGAATTAACCAAGGCGCCTTTAACAAGTTGTACTTTATTTTTTAGGAATGACGTTCGGTCTAGCACAGACGAAAGCTGCCATTGCAAATATAATTATGAATTTTGAACTGACGGTTAATGAGCGAACACGCAAGGACAATTACCAATCCGCTCATGGCTTCATTACTGGCTTAGATGGTGGTATATTTTTAACGCTGAAAGGACTCTAGATGAAAGTCTAGTTGGCAATATAAAAATTACACTTTTGTAATCACACCAAATATATGAATATGAACAAAAAATGAAATCATATAAAATGTAAATGTAGCGTCAATACTATTTTTCCACGTTGATAAGGAATGGCATATAACATATGCAACAACAACAACGCAGTCAAAAGAAGGTGGTTTGTTTATGAAATGTAAACAGTTTTGAGATATATAGCAACCGATAGGAAAGTCATGTTAACATTCGTAACAACAGTTAATAGCAACTTACGCTACAAATTAGTTTAACTGTTTACAGGTATTGACCAATTGGCTCAATCCAGTTTAAGTTTAGTAAACACAAATTTATTAATTAAAATAAAACAAGGTACTGAAAAGAAACATTAGACATTTTAACAAAACATTACAATTTTAAGAATTTCGTGCATCACTTCAATGTCCACTTACATGTTAAGAAAAAGAAAAGACTCAATAAAATTGTATTGGCAATAAATATATGCCAATTGGATTTCTTTCCCAATTATTTATTTATGCTGTATCTACTTTTACAACTCACAGGATAGACATGACCAAGACGAAGACCAATACGGCACTGTTATGCGAACTAACTCGTTTGAAAGCTCAACAAAAATACCTCGAAGCAAACCAAATAAAACTCACGCCCGAAAATATTTGCAGCTACAACGGCGCATACGACCCTTCAACAGCAACGGATGCATGCAATCATGTTTTGAACGCCATTAATGAAATCAACCTTTTGAAATCCCAACAAGACAATGAGGTCAACAAGTTTCGGCTAACATTACGAACCTCTGCTAAGGACATATATCGAGAATTACAACAGTTGCGCGATGATATCAAACCTGAAAACTGTACAGAAAACCTATCGCTCGATTCTATGCGGAGAAAAATTGTCGACATCAGCACCTTGATTGACGGGCTTAAAATAAAAAACACAAACGAACTTAAAACGCTGCAGAGTCAGTACAACGATTCCGAAAAGTATGCCGCCACTTCAGCCTAATTTTATTTGTACCGAGAAATATTTATGAATGCATGATAAAATTACACTGGCAAACAAAAAAATACTGAAAGTCTATCATGTTCCTCACATTATAAAATCTCGCTCAGTTAACTCAAAAGGTAAATTTGGTAAAGGTCATTAAAAAAAACAGATCTTGCATTTTACTTATATCCATGATAAAGTTGAGCAGTAAGCAACTGAAAAGCAGCAAAACTTACAAAAATGGTTACGTACCTTTGTTTTGGTGACAATGTTGGATGCTAGCTTAACAACTGCAAAGTTTCCTTTTCCAATTGTTTTTTCCAAATCGTAACATCCAACTCTTAACAGCTTGTCCAAAGATATTTTGCTAGTGGAGGGCATTTTGTAACTTTGTGTCGTTGACATCTTGGAGCTATGAAAATGTACTTCTTAAAATGATGTGATGTTTGTGCGATTTTTTTACTTAATCTGCTGATCGTATTATCGCCACATTATCATTGGGCGCTGCCCACTACCTACCGCGCCTTTACTTCTTCGTTAGTGTATTTCATCAGCACATAATTGCGCTAATTGTTCTTATTGGCAAATATCATATACTTCAGCGGATTTTACGGCAGAAGGCAATGCGTTTAAAAATCCTTAGCACAAGTCTGTCTAGTTTTTCTTATGTGCAAAAAAGTTTCCTTTGTTTTCGTAATTGCCATAAACATTCAATGTTTTTTTGCATTTCAAAGCATAGTCCAATTTTTACGGAACTGCATGCAGCCATATTTCAATTCTCTGGATATTTTTCCGTATTTAAAACCCTGAAACGAAATACCAAAAAAATAATATTTTTAGGACATGCTGGAATATGGAAATCATTTCGGAAAGATATCAACAATATCATTTGTATTGATATGATGTACAAACGTAAATGTTTTATTTAAACTTTAATAATTTTAAAGCCCCAATTTGGATACTTTCAAAAATGTATCAATCAGGTATGTGATGGAAACCGATTCAACTCGATTTGAGGAATCGGAATTAAATAAATGTAGTAGGTATTCCATAAAAGGATTTATCAATTTTGATATATAGTCAATCTTTCCATGATAAAAACAAGTCAAAATGGTTTCCATCACATACCTGGTTATATAATATCTAAAAAATCAGTTAAACTTAAATAAATAACTACAACCAAGAAGCTACAGAATTAAAAAAGCTTTCTTTCACAAAATCTATGATCAAGACAATACACATATTTACATGGATGGCGTTTACATAGATTTTCAAATATCTTTTCGGATAATCATCAACGGTCATTTGATAAGAATAGAATACAAAGTCGTTTTCAGGCCATGTTTTAAAAAACCTTCTTCCCTCACATTTAAAAAAAAATTAAGATAACATCCAAAGGCACATTGGAGAAAAAACACCCGTATTTATTAAACTGAAAATTTAATTGATTGACAACATTTTCAGAATAATTGACTGAGTATTTTTACTATTAATTTCTTCTAGTGCTTTCGTTGAGCTGAGTTCAGGTCAACACTTGGTTGAAATTTGGCATTACTTCAATTTCTATTACAACATTAGTTTATACCCTCTCGAATAATAACAAAATCGAATGCACATACAGGGGGAGATAAAAAACTTCAACTTCAGACTGATGTCATTTCTAAGCCACTCGTCCGACAGCTCTTTAAAATAATTCCAATGAGAGCTCATTATATTGTTTAAAAATGTACAAAAGCATTTTGGTGAGAATTTTCCAGAAAAAAAGTTATTCGTGATGGAATTGTAGCGTGATAGTGTGATTTCTTTATATTTGACTGGAAAACAACAAGTGGCTATTATTAGAGCACTCCAGCATTTAAATGTGAATAAATCTTGTGTCTCGTACCATCGCTCGTTACCGTGATACTGGTAGTGTAGCCCGACGTTAAGGAAGTGGACGGAAGAAAACAGCAACATCAGCAGAAATGGTTCGAAAAGTAAAGAAGCGACTTGATCGAAACCCGCATCGCAGTGGCCGAAAAATGGCTCGTGAGCTTAACATATCACAATATCTCATGAGCTCGGGGTAATGCCATTGAAATTCCAAAAAGTCAAGAACTTACACCGCAACATAAAAAATAGACTCAAGAAATAGACCGATGAGAAAACATTCTCTGTCCAGCAGTTTGTAAACAAACAAAATGATCGTGTTTACTTGCCAAAGAGGTCAGCTGAAAATGTGCACCTTCGGTTGACCACCAGAACTCAAACGCCGCCATAACAGCCGATGGTCGCTCTCGGCTCGTATTTTTCGACCGTGGCATCAGAATAAATGCGGAATTTTATCGCGAAAATATTCTGGAAGGTGTACTAAAGCCTTGGGCACGCAAACATTTTGGTCGCAGACCTTGGACATTCCAACAGGAATCACCACAGTCGCACTCAGCACGCGCCACCCATAAATGGTTACAAAATGAGGTTCCTCGCTTCATTTCCAGCGCACAATGGCCACCAAAATCAAATTGTATCTGGAGTATTTTGGAAAGCAAGGTTGGCACTAAAAAATACCAAAGTTTTTGTACCAAGCGCTTCTTCTGGAATGGTCCAAAACACCGCAGAGCTACATTCGGGCAGCGTGTGACGGTTTCATTGGCCATAATTCGTGCCAAAGATGACCAATTCAAATAAATCTAAACTTATTTTAAAATTCGATGCTATTTCCGACATTTTTTGCTTTAAATCAATAAAATTTAAAAAAAATGGTGTTTGATTTTGTATGGTGTTTGATTTTGTTGCAGTTGCACATTCACAAGGGATTAAGTAGACTACAAAATCCAAACAATAAACGGCTGTAAAAGCAAGTAAGTCCCTAATCACAGCATCACAGCATTCGAATTTAGCAAAATTGAGGTGCGGCTCTTCTATCTGGTCTCCACTCCAATAGATATGGTGGTGATTAAAACTCCATATATGTTTTGTAAACACACGAAAAGCCTTTCGAATGATGAACAATATTCCTAAATAGTCAAATGACAGACCTGGAGGGTCTCCACAAGGATCAAAACTATTCGCCTGCGAACATATCTCAAATCGGGAAAAAGAACAAATTTATTCTATACATTTGTATTGTATTTGTTCGTAGGCATAGGCCTGGGCTTACATACACACAATGAAATTCAATTGTGAATGCCGAAAATACGCAAGGATGGTTTTGGAGGTTGCTCCGCAAATCTGCTCTTTAAGTTGTAAAATTATTATCAATGAATGTTTCGTAGCATAACACCCACACTTATGTACATAACACCACCATTCAACGCAGTACTCTATCATGAATGGAACAAAAACAAGAACAACGACGTTTTCACACTAGCCCTTCGCCCTTCCTCGAAAGTAACTTTTACATGTAATAATGGATGGATAATGAATATACAAGAACCAACCTTCAACTCGACACCTCATGACGTGCTGAGGCTACAAATTCCAGTGCAGTTTTACGAACATGTATGATTTTCATTGGAATATCTCCAAGTCTTAAATAAGTTTCTTATTTACAAATTTTATTTTGTTAATTTTGCAATCGATTTTTTCTTTTTCATAGATTTTGCCCACTCACACACTTGTCTGCGCTTGTATCTTCGACAGACTTTATGATTGCATGCCACTCGATTCCATTTTTACAATTATATCGCAAGCAACACCGTTTTATCGCGAAGCAGTAACATTATTTACGACGGATAAATTTTCTAATCATTTAATAATATTAATATTTTTAATTTTTACTGAATAAATGAAATAATCGTAAAACAACGATGTCAACTGAACGAACGCGTGAAGGGACCTCAACGTCGACTTTGGTGCAATTTTTCGTAGTGTCCTCTTTTGACTTAATTTGTCTTTGGTTCTGTCTTCCCACAATATTTCTGGTTGGGTTTTTTAGCTTTACCAATTTCACTAATTCCGTAAGGGCAGCACTTTTTTAGTGTTCCTTTATACTTTCTTTCCAGTTGTACTGATATTTCGATACATGCACATTATTAGTTTCGATAATGGTAATTCAGAAAATTGAAAACTATCGATATTGATGCTTTTTTAATGTCCGATATTTTATTTTTTTATAGCGAAAAAAAAAAAATAATAAAAAAACAAGTAGATTCTTGCAGGTTTTGAAAAGCTTGTGATAATTGCTCTATTCCAGAACCTGCAAGTTTTGCAAATTTTTCGATATCGTAAAGGGAGAATGGGTTATTGTAGTAAAAACTTTTACATTCGTGAAGTTCTGGAACAGACCAAATACCTAAAAAGAAATATCGGTTGTTGCAGTACCTTTCTTACATTCTTGCAGGTTCTGAAGCAGAGCATTTCAGTCTGTTAGCACCTAGAGGTGTCTATCTTGATTATATTAAGTTGACACGCTACGTGATAACACAAGGTGGAATGTCCGCTGAAAACAAGAAAGGAAAAATACATCAATTTGTGTATTGACAAAATTAATTTTGACAGTGCGTATCTTGTGAGCGAACAACGCAGTTCATGTGGCGTTTCCACTGCACTTGATTCGCTCTCTATTCGTTGTTTGACCCTTAACTATGAAAAAACTACCTAATTCTTCACACAAAATTTCCTGAGCGAACACTCATATTTGTACGTTGTTCAAATCAAATCACTCTCAGAACAACGAAAAAATATGTCCCATCCCTAACAAATGAGAGCATTTATCGAAAAAATAAATTATGACATTTAAAAATAATAAATAGAAAAATTTAATGAAATTTTAAAAATTTTTAGGAAGACTGAAAATTATGAATGAAAACTACAATGTTGAATGGCGTATGTACATTCAAACGAAAGTAAATTTTGTTTTCTCTCTCATTCGAGGTACGCATTTGGTCCACGAGTTAAAATTTCTACAGAAAACTGCAAACAAAATAGTCAATATTTTCAAAATGTTTCTATCGGCATAAAAAATGTTTGACAAGTGTCTCTTCAGCAGAATTCAAAAATGGGAAAACACAAAAATATGTTCAAAATGTCAACATTTACACAAAAAGTTGAAAACGTGAATGAAAATTGTAAAATTAATGATATAATAAATCTTTGGGAGGAAAACAATAATTTCTTATATTCATATTAGTGAGAATTTCATGTATTTTCGTATACATTCCCTTTAAAATTAACAAACAATTTTTTTGAAAAAAGGAATTATTTTACTATGAATTACGAATCGTGCCGTATGAACGGGTTAATTCGTGTACCTAATTCTGAGAGCGAACAACGTTGTTCGGTTTCCAATGGAAACATTCTATCATATTCTAGTGCGAACATGCGAATTCTTCCGATGATATCGATAAAAAAACAATCAATCCATACTCGATATTGCAATCGATTGTTTGTCAGCTCTAACCCTGATACTTTTTTGACGCCATCGAATGTCAATATAAAATTTCGGATATTTAAGTAATTTTTGTTATATTATTTGTTTTCAAAGGTATTTAAAGTTTTCTGCTCGTTACAGGATTAATTGTTTATTGCGGACAGCCAGTGGGCCTTTTTCAAATAAGCAATTATCAGAAAAGATGGAACAGCATCAAAATGAGCAACAACATCAAGTCCGAACAACAGGTCGTATAAAGAAACCAAAAGCGGTGTTTGATCCATCGGACAATTATTTGCCCAGAGCACAGCGCTTGTCAATAGCCACACCTCCTGTTGCATCAGGTGGTACTGTAAGCGGCAGTAATCAACTGCAAGATCGTCGTGGGGCACATAGTCGAATATCGACAGCATCGTCCTCCGATGGTACTACTGCGTCCGCTGTGTCAGTATCGAAAGAAGTCTGTGTTGGATGCGGCAAGAGGGAATCAAAGCGTCCTGCGTTCGCATTCAAAAATCCACTAATCTCGTGTGTAGAATGCGAAAACAAAATTCATAAACTTTGCCTAAAAGTTGATTATGACGATTTTGACGCAGTGCGCCCGAACTACAAGTGTGAAAAGTGCTCACCATGTTCAGTTTGCAATGAGCGAGGTAATGATGATAACAGTGTGAGAGTCGCTGTAATATGTTCCACGTGTACAAAATTATTTCACAACGATTGCTTGCAATCGGGAGCCTTGAAGGCTGGAGAAGATCAGCCGCGCGATTGGAATTGTGCGAAATGTACATTGGATAGAAAAGAAACAAAAGATACCGATGATTTGCCAGTTAAAAAGATCCGCGAAATTATTGGTGGTGCTCAGGTGCAGGCCGTACACGCCAATAATAAAACAAATCATGCGGCGTCAACATTAGAATCGAACCTAAAACGTCCACACAGTGCAGAGATTCAAAAAAAGGTTGACGGTTGTTCTCTTGATGATGAAGACGGTTCGGCAAAGGAGAAACGCAGTAAAATTGTCAATTCCATCGAAACTACCGTAGAAGGTAGCGTAGATTCGCAATCAGTGAAATCACATTCACCGTTTTTGGAAAACGCTCGAAACAGCCCCAATAACGCATCTTGTGATGACATTCCGGATGTTCAGTTGGTGAAAAATTGGTCAGTGGACGACGTGTATGAGTACTTCTGTAAACAATTTCCCAAAGAAGCTTATATATTTAAAGATGAGGAGATCGATGGGCGCTCTCTTCTACTACTGAAGCGGAGTGATGTTGTAAAGAAGTTACCGCTCAAGTTGGGACCATCTCTGCGTATCTATAGTGCTATTTTGAAAATTCAAGCTCAATCAAACGATAACACCTTGGGCTGGAACTGCACACTTTGATCACGCCTAAATTTCGATCAATCACCATTTTTTTCATTCACTTTATTTTACATTTATTTAAATGTATTTTTCATATAATTTTCATTTGTCGACTTATTTTATTTCTATCCAAAATTATTTTAAAATTGAATTCCCAATAAAAATATCAATGTACAACAGGTTGTGTACAAAATTTTAAAATCATTACATAAGGTTAGTTTTCATTTTATTTATTTATATGTTGTAATAAAAAGCCATTTAGCAATTAAAAATATATAAAAATTTTCCATAATTTGTGACTGAGTACAGGGCGTGCTTGTAAGTCGTTGCAGCCACAGCACATTCGATTTTGAAATGTTTGCATTACCATCGCATTCTCAGGCTGAAGAGATTTTTAAACCAAATGGAATTTTCGTTGCATTTTTGGCAGTAATTCCAAACGCGGAATAAAACAAAAATTAGTCACAAATTATATTTTTTAATGATGAATTACATTTTTCAAAAATAGTTGACAGCAAGAGAAGGCTACGGACTGATTCCGCCTTCTGGAAAACAAGGAGTATTTTTTATATTTGTTTGACTCGAATGAATTATTCAGTTTGAAGCTGCTATCAATTCGCGACATCCTTGAACAACTTGACTTTATTAACAAAAACTCCTAAATATTATCGACAAGAGAATGTGGGGGATTGACCAAAGTACTCGTGGAATTTAATGATTGTGTTTTATGAGATTTGCCCAGAATGCCGTATGGAATTAAAGAAAACGAGACAACAAAACAATTCGAAAACTACGATTTAAAATTATATCAGGCAAATTTAAGTATCGCATAAATCAACTTAAATTTAACATGAAACAAACAAAAGAAAAAAAAAAAACAGTTATACAAAATTCAAATAGGACAGATACAAATTCATAAACAAATTAGATATTGTGAAATATAACGAAATTAGTTTCACGATTTCTTTTTAGTTGACCTAATTGGAATTATCACAATTGGACTGTACATTTCGCTACCTTTTGTTGTGCTAATCAAACAAATCAGAATATTGAATATTCGATACAATTTAATCCAAAACCCAAAAGATATATTCACCACAAGTAATGTAACAAGAATTATTTCTTCTTAATTTGAAAATTAAAAAAAAAAAACATTGTAAAACTCATACGATTTTATGATTGTACCATGGTTGAAGGAACTTTCTTACACGGAATCGACTACGGTGTTTTTTCATTTCCTTAACATAGCATTTGAATGCCATTTTTCACCAACAACCCTAATATATATACATACATATGTATGTATGTTTTTGAGAAAAAAGGAAAAGGCGATACAGTAATAGATTTAACGTCATTTCATGACAGCATTGGAATAGGGAAATATTTGCTAATGAAGAGACATTTCAAGATGTGCACGTATAATATTAAATATATTTCATCTTCAAAATATGTTGTAGTACAAAAGATATAACGCGTACATATGGAGTGCATATAGGTGATACACACACACACACACACAAAACAATAATTGTTATGCACTATGCAATTCGTGTGTATCGACTGTAGGCACTTCATGTGTATGCCTTATATCTTTTGTACAAGATCGTATATATATTATATATATATTATTTTTTTATATCCTCAGCCATATGGCTAGAGAGGGTGTATATAATTTGATACGGTCAAAACGCGCCTAGTCGAAATAAGGTTTTAGACCCTAGGTCTCTTTAGACCAAACCCGTTTGAGAACATTTGGAGTCGATATAGCGATGTTCGTTCGTCCGTCTGACTGTCTGTCTGGCTGGTGCGTACGATAAGTATCCGATTTGATCCAAACTTGGTATATCGTAATATTATTATCAAATTTAGATCGTATTCGGAGATGGAAAATATCCGTCCACTCCATCAAGTATTTCCCCCAAAAAGCGTCAAATTTTGAATAATTATAACTCTTACAAAATGTGATGTAAGAGACCGATTGTCTTCAAATTACACACATCACAATATTTTTATTAACCTAAAGTCTGGTGTGAAGATGGTAGAGGTCGGAGCATTCCTTCTGGTACCTCCCCCATGAAGGGACAAAGTTTTGAATAACCAAATGATCATAAAATCCGAAATAAACATCCGGTTATCTTCAAATTACACACATCACAATATTTTTTATCAACCCAAGGTCTGGTGTGAAAATGAGATACATCGGTCTACTCCTTCTGGTACCTCCCCTACAAAGGGTCAACATTTCATGAATCTCATAAAACACGAAATTAACAGCCGATTCCATTTAGACTTAGAACATCTCAATATTTTCGTCAATGCAAAATCTGCATACCTCCCACTCATGAGGGTTCAACATTTTTGATTTTCCAACTCTCATCAAATTTTACACATCGAAATGTTTTTGCTAAACATCTGCCAACCCCTTCTGATACCTCATCCACAAAGGGTCACGATTACCATTACTTATATCTGCAAACAAGTCTCTATATTTAGTTGCTATATCTAAATATTTCTCTTAACTAGAAATCTGATATGAATATGGAATTTATCGGAATTTATGATTTCGCATAAAATTGAATATCAATATCAATATTTTTATCTGTATTAGACGAAGTATGAAATTGGGATACTCGGTTATATCAGTTACCTAACGCATATTTTCACATTTTTCAAACATTTCCACATATCTCATATAAAGTATAGGAATAAGTCGGTATATTCCAAGTCTAGCTCGTTGTAATATTTTTATCAGACTTCGTCAGATACGAATTGGTCGATAATGGAACCTCCCCCATAAAGGATCAACAGTTTGTGTTGTTTTCATTCAATTTGTTATCGGTTAATAAAACTAAAGTAGAAAATGATTATTTACAATTTATTGAATAGATTCTTCATTCGACATTGTATTTTCTTGAAATAAAATTGAAATAACCTCCCCCCCCAACCATCAGCCCAAACTGAACCATTGACTGCAGCGGAACAATGGCAAGATGTAGCAAAAGGATTGATGAGGAAAATCAAATTTATATCTGAAGATTCAATGGTTAGTGTCTGTACTCGGGCTTTATTTCCTAAGTTTAACTATTGTATTTCTCTCGTTAGGAGCAATGCACTCTCGAAGTTTTCTTTTCCACTTTTCTTGAAAATTAAGCCTACAGCATTGTAAACATTGACTTTCACGAATAATGGAGAGCACTTCAATGCCAGGTATGCTTTATTTGAACTGTGGTTTTGTAGCTCTTTTTCATGTAAGGCAATGAGAGACAAAAATATCGTAGAGAAACTTTATAACTATTTAGTGAGGCGTAGTAATGAACTTTGAGTCATCTTTGGCATTCCGTTTGTAACTCCTCGTAACATTTATAATAGGCCCTACAAAGTATATATATTTCGGATCAGCGTAAAATTCTAAGACAATCTAGCGATGTTCGTGTGTCTGTTGTAATCTTTCGAACGAATAGAGATAGAAAGCTAAATCTCAATCGTTTTCGTATAGCCCCAAATATAACGGTACCTCCCAATATTCAGTATTTTCATGATTTTAGCGACAGTGTTTACCAGAATTATTTCAAATTTCATATTTAAAGTTCGTAATGGGTACTACAGCCTATGACAAAAATTTTTGTATGCAGGTCCACGTCTTCGTATAGCCCCCATATAACGGTAGCTCCCAATATTGGGTACTTTGTTTGATTTTAGCGACATTATTCACCGGAATTGTTTCAAATTTGGTATTTGGTGTTCGTAATGGATGCTACAGCCTATCACCGAAAATTATTTGTGCAGGTCCACGTCTTCGTATAGCCCCCACATAACCGTACCTCCCAATATTCGGTATTTTGATGATTTTAGCGACATTATTCACCGGAATTGTTTCAAATTTGGTATTTGGTGTTCGTAATGGGTACTACAGCCTATGAGAAACATTTTTGTATGCAGGTCCACGTCTTCGTATATCCCCCATATAACGGTAGCTCCCAATATTGGGTACTTTGCTGATTTTAGCGACATTATTCACCGGAATTGTTTCAAATTTGGTATTGAAGCTCGTAATGGATGCTACAGCCTAAGGCAGAAAATTGTCTGTGCAGGTCCACGTCTTCGTATAGCCCCCATGTAACGGTACCTCCCGTAATGGCCTAATACAGCTTTTTTACTTGTTTTTTTTTATTGTTTATCTTTTGTTCTACGATTACATACACAATTATGCATTTTGACATTGCATTTAATAGGCAGTTGGCTTGGACAGGGGATCTTAGGGTAGGAATATATAAAGCGCTTATTTGGCTGGCTTAAGTCATCGGCTGGCTTCTTCGGAAATGAACAAAGGAGTCAAGGGCCAAAATCGAACAAAGTTTACCTAAAACTCCTTTGTTTCTCTGCGAAGAAGCCAGCCGATGACTTAAGCCAGCCAAATAAGCGCTTTATGTAATCCCACCTTTATAGTTGGGCCATAGCGGTACCTATTTATTGTGTTAGAAGAATTAAGGTAGACAGATTGACACAGGTGACGGGACAATGAACTGTCAAACCAATTTTGGAATTGAAAATTTTTAATGAAAAGTTATTGAAATTTGTAAAAATGATTGAAAAATGCATATTATAACAACCTCCGATTGACGTCGTATATAACTTATAAAAAACTACTTATATTGAAAACAACATTTTAAAATTGTTGACATGTCAATGTTCCCAATCGTTGAAGCAACTACCTTTTTTCTTCTACCATGCTTGGGCCGTGGGAGTACCTATTTAAAGAACCGAAAACGTATAATGTAATTGTTATACTGTCAAAATTTTTGCATACCCTTTCATACGTTTAATTCATGGCGCAAAAATAAGATGATCCTGAAAATTTCAAAAACCAGATGAAATGTCAAAATTTGTTTACAATTGTTCGCTATTTGCATGGCAGAAGAATACAGGGAATACAACGCTTGGGAGCATTGATATGTCAAAAAATTTTAAATGTTTTTTCAAATATAAGTAGATTTTTATATGTTTTCTTATACTACGTCATTCGGAGGCTATTATAATTCGCGTTTTTCAACAATTTTTACAAATGTAAATAATTTTTCATTCAACATTTTCAATTCCAAAATTGGTTTGACAGTTCATTGTCCCAGCAGCTGTGTCGACGCGTCTACCTATATTCTTCTACCATGGCTATTTGTTTATCTTTTGTATCTTGGCATAGAGACCTTATACCATG